TATTGAATAAAAAAAGTGCAGTGCAAGACAGAGTCTTAACCAGCTTATCCAGCTTACATACTGTTAGCCTGTTTCATAATTAACTGTGTGTATTTCATCAGATCTGTGCTAAGAGGCTCAAAATAACCAAAAAGCAGCAAACATCTGCAATAATATCGGGATCATGCAGTCACCATGCTAAAATAAACAACAACAAAAAACATAACTACATTTTAGCCAATTTTCCAACACTACTGATGGATAGCTAAGTTCAATAACTTCACACAATAAGTGTGTCACAGCTGTATCCATCACGTTTACTAACCCTGAAAACAGTGTCTATTTTCATGTGAGCTACTTGCAGCACATTTTTGTATTTGGCAGTTTCCTCTATATGCAGCATGTTTCTGTATTTTGTTGTGTTTTGTCCATTTGCAGCATGTTTCTGTATTTGGTCATGTTTTGTCTATTTGCAGCTAATATAACAAGTTGTGAAGGTGAAGATTCTTTTAGCAGTCCAAGCAGCAGCACTTGCTGCTGGAGCCCTGTTTTGTTCCCATTCTTCTTCCTCTTCCTCTTTTTCTTCTTCCTTCTTATTTTTCTCCCCTAAAAGTGCTTGTGTAACAAAAACCATAAAACCAAAAGTTGCCAAAATTGGCAGATGAGTTGCTGACTCCACCTACCACTCATGCACAAAAAATGACGCCTATTGACTTTAAGGTGACACTGTAACAATCAAGTTTATGTTTTCTCTTGGAAACGGCCTGGCTCAAAGTAAAAATTCTTTAATCATTTTAAACTCCTAATTCATCTTCATCTTTGCTCCAATGGTGTTCTTCTCTAAAAATGTCAAATTTGCAACTTTGTGTCCCCACTTTTTTCTAAATGTTTGAGAACTTTGGCAAGATCATCTACAGATATTGCTGCTCTGAAGTTATCAAGGAAATTTTCATACATCAGTCCATTTTATAATTATACATTTTTAAATGTGTCTTACATAAATGCTCATAAATCAAAATTAGCTTGAGCAATTGTAACCAAAATTGGTGCACATGTTGGGATACTAGGTCCGAGTTTCGCTACATAGTCTTGGGAAATTCTACCACTAGGAGGTGTCATAAACAGTTCATACCTCATAATTGGCTACAGGATTAATAACATGTTCGGTTAGCATGATCTAGGTTCATGACTCAGTCAGTGCAGTTAACTTGTCATGATTGCCCAAAGTCAGGCTGTTCTCATTAACAGTTTGTATGTTTTCCTATGAAAAGTAATGCACCTCAATCCTTTTTAGATCTAGATCCTTTTTGTGTTTGTAAAGATTATGTATTTTGTGGGCAGAGCCAAACTGATGGCAGAAAGGTGCAATAGTGGTGTCAGTGTGAGCACCAAATAAAACTTAAGCACTAAAACATTTATTTCTCAATCAATAACAGTTTCTATACATCCGTTTTTATATCCATGGGTCTATGATCCACGTGTAGTAGGAAAAAAAATCCAGTCTCCAATTAAGGGAATCTGGACATTTAGGCTAATCACTGCTGCTCAGTGCTCAGTAAAGGGGTGTTTTAGGCTTATATGAACTAAATTATTTATGTGGTGAAAGATATGTCATCATGAGGAATTGTAAAAACTCACGTTTATCAAGTATGGATTTGGCTTTTTCCTTAATTAACAGCTGTGGAGACATCCCAATTTTATATAATTTAATGTGGAAGTACATCTTATCAACTTTCTAGCACCAGCTAACGCTGTCTGCTTATTATCACCTTGATCATAACAAGTACTCTTCACTTTAGAAATGCCACCACAATAAAACAAGTTCTTTGTTTATGTTAACGTATAGCCTTTAATGTGTGCTTAGCTCAGTTCCCATTTGCATCCAGGCAGGGAAAATGAAAGGCTTGCTTATGTTAGTGTTTGTAGCTAATGTTGCTAGCGCACTAGCTATGACTGATCGCTGACAGGTAGAAACAAACATGTATGATCCATCATCCATTTAATAATCTAAACAAAGTGGTGTCCTCTATAAAATGAGCAGTGGTGAAAGTTACTATTATTCTGTTATGATCAAGGAGTTAATAAGCAGACAGTGTTAGCTAGGTAGTTGAAAAGTTTTTCAGTGTTACTTCTACATTAATCATATGGGGACGTCTCCACAAGTATCAGCCAGGGACAATAAGACAAATCCATGCTTGACAAATGTGAGTTTTTACAGACTTATGATGATGAATTATCTTTCACCACATCAGTAATTCAGTTCATGTAAGCCAAACACACACTCCTCTCCTGAGTGTCCAGCAGTAATTACGGCCTAAATATCGATAGTCCAATTAACTGGAGACAAAACTTTATTTTCTACTACACGTAGATCATACTGTATGTATGTATTCAACTGGGCCGGATTTTTAAACCAGAAAATGTTGATGGGCCACATTTTAAGCACCGAGCAACCTATCCACTTTTTTTTTTTAGCATTTATAAATATATCTATATCTATATCTATATATATATGGCCCTCCTCAACATAATGCAGAAACAGAATAAAAAAGAGCTATCAATGCACAGAAGCATAGTAAGTGTCATAAACAGTAACTAATAACACACTATCTCTCTACCTGCATCTCCCTTCTACACCATAGACTGTAAAACTACACACACACACACACACATACACACACCTCACTTCCTGATGTTTTCCTTTTTGGTTAGATACATAGGATATAGTTTTATGCAGTCCATGGCAGCAACAGTCATGTTTACAACAAAGTCACTATATAAACTCAATGATGTCTCACTGGAAACAAATCTAACATGTCAATAAAATAAATATTGACATGACATGACCTGACATCACAATACTGAGTGAAAAAAGTAACGTTATCTAAGCATGAGGAACACAAACATCAGTATCAGTCATTCATCCTGTTCTCTGTCCCCCCTCTACTGAGGACACTCACTGTCTGCAGGTCAGCTACATCAGCTACATTTTCAGATTAAGTGTTAAGACTACAGACAGCTTTCATTTTAGTTAGCCCCACTAGCGGGATGTGCTTGTGTATACCGCGATTGCAAACCATAATAGCGGTGAATGAGAGACTGTGGACAGAGCAGATTGAAATATGGCTTTGCACGTGCTTAACACATGGATTGATAAAGTACTGACTTTTTACTGGCAGAGGTTTTATAGCACTTACAGTAACAAGCGTAGTTGTTGGCAACTACAGTCATCTTAAGGTTATACTCCCTTCATCTGCACTGCGGCCTCTCTTCTGATGTCTGTGTGAGTGCGTGTGTGTGTGTGTGTGTGTGTGTGTGTGTGTGTGTGTGTGTGTGTGTGTGTGTGTGTGTGTTGTGAGGAGGAGGTCACCCCAACATGCAGAGAGCAGGAGAGAGGCTGTAGCATGATGATACATGAAACCAAAACTTTAGAAAGTAATGATAAGAGCTGATAACATCAGAGCTTACTATTATTACGGTCTTGATTAAATTTGTCTCAGGCCGTTTAATACCGGGTCTTGGTACCAATCCCTGCCCGGGCCACTCAGAGGTTGTCTCTGGGCTGCATGTGGCCCGCGGGCCGCCAATGGAATAGGCCTGGTCTATGGTCTTGGACTTACAAACTAACCCTGAGCAATGCCAAGGTTACAGTGGCCAGACATCTTCGTGAACCTTGTGGAAAAACCCAGCGTCTATATGAAAGAATAACTCAAGACATACAAACTTCTCAATTTATACAGTTTTGTACTTTGTGGTCATGTCCAGGATACCGAGATTTGTCAAATGATTTCTGTTTATTACGGACAGACGTGCTGCTGAGCCAGTGACAAGGACATAAAACTAAGCTATATAAGACATAAACAAGTCAAACAGCTATATAGTGACAGAAATCTGCACTTCATGGCTCAGTTAGTAATAACTTCGTTTCATTTTTTAATGCATTTTAGAACAATGTAAATACTGCTGCCACTAGGTGTATGTGAATGTAGGCCTAAATATTATTTCATGCTGTAACTGTAGGGCTCTATGAATTGCATATGTAAATATTATATAGTTTTTTTGTTTATATTAAATTCTAGCAGCCATAAAGGTTTAGCTTTAAACGGTGTCCTCGGTGACAGTTTTCAATAAAGATGAAGGTTATCTTTTTTGTATTCCTGTTATGATATCCAACAACACAAGAAGACATTTTTATTCTGGGTATCTCAACCATTTGTCATCAGTGTCTGCTGTTTGTCTGTCATCAGTATGTGCACGCAGCTGCTGTGACGTAACTGTGACGTCCACTAAAAATTGGTCTATATATCCTCCGTAATTATGAGCCAGTAATTTGTGCATAACCCACGTATTTTGGAAGGCTACGATCACGTTGCCGCTGACTGGAGCTAACAAGAAAGTGGTCATGAATGGCCTGTAAGGAGGCATGTTGGGGCGGTGGATGGGTCACAAAACACAGGACTTTCCCTTGCAGAGGGGTGTTCAGAACTGTGTGAACTTTTAGTTATTTTCAGGTATGTCGTCACCATTTTTTTTTTTACGTTAACCTGACCACAGTAACTTAACTTGCCTAAATCTAAAGCCACCCAATCACATGGCTTTTCCTAAACCTTACCATTACTTTACATTAATTATGTAACTTTACATTAGGGACGTAATGTCATTAGTGGGTGCTAATTTGTCGGATATAATACAAGCCACTGTGCGTGTATTTGCGTAGTGTATCATACAAACCCTTCTATGAGGATATGTTGTTAAAGTGGGCATTGCTCATTACAACTAATCCAAATTTCTAGAAATTTCACATTCCAAACTTCAAAAAGTGCAGTCCAGTCCGGTGCTCCCACAGAGCCAGGTTTTTTTTTCAGCACATCCCCTGAATTGTGACAAAAGTTTGTCTCACTGCAACCTATATTCAATTCACAAGTCTGTCACCCTGTATTTTTCAGAATATGCAAAATCAATCAATGTCTATACCTCCACAAGTCTTCATTCAAATGAAACCAAAAATGACACAAACATTCTTTGGACACTTCATATCAACTGTTTTAAATGGTGTTCAGATATGTCAGTGAGCTTGCAGTGATATTCAACAACTTGTTGTAATGCATGCACAACATTATCTATATCATCAACAGTCATTTTTAAACAGTTTTCACGTAAATCTTTGACAATACACCTGACAAAAGCAGGTTAATGTGTATTTCTTTCTGAATTGTATTTCCAACAGTTAAGTTGTTGTGACTTTTTAAGTTTTGTAACGTCCCTCTCTCTGCCTTCTGTTTGTGAAGTTGTTTTGGCTTCCTGGCCTTGCAGCCAGTGGGCGGGGTTGGAGAGGTCGTCAGGAAACACACCAAGGACACGTTCAATCAGAAAATGTTGTGCATCATTTTTCTATGATTTCCAGGTTAAACAACATGTTTCTTCAAAGTGTGAAACGGTGTGCAAAGGGTATGTTTTCTCTCATTTGGTGGATGTGTCAGAAGTGTTACCCAATCAGCAGCGATGTGTACATAAACCAAATTTTGGTATATCTTTACTTACTGTACATACAATTTTTGCTTTTATTGCACATACTTTGGCAATCTAAACATTTGTTTCCCATGCCAGTAAAGCTCCTTTGAATTGAATTTAACCCTGCAATATTAAAAGGCTGTCCACCTGCTAAACACAACAGGTGGTGCTTCTCAAAGTCAAGGAAGGATCCTTAAATGACTAAATTTCAAGGAGGCTATCATCAAGTCCTGCCAAAGGACTGTTCCAATGTCAAGGATCCTTCAAATTCTACCAAGCACCGAGTCCTTCCTTCAGAGAATTTTCAAGGATGCATATGTGTATCCTCAGCATGCATGAAGTACTCACAAGTCTTTGTCCACGATTTGCCGAAATTGAAGGCGGGCCCTCTTTAATGACACACACCTGAGCACTCGCTAGCCTGTTCCAATGTGCGTTCACCAAATGCTAGGAAAAAGTCTTGGAAGCATTCTTGACTTTAAGAAGCACCAAGGGTGTTCAACACTGTTTGTGTTTAAATAAACCTTTTGCTATGTTTTGTCGTGGCTGAATGCAGCCACAGTGTGTGCTTCCTCCTGTTTCTGCCCATCTGTTGTGAACTTGACATGCCATATCCTCTGCTACTTTATCAAGTCCAGACTCAACTTCCCCATCTCTTGTGACAAATCTCAAATATCCAATATGTATAAAATAATACAAAAGCTACATATTCATCTCATGTAAACAGAACTTCATTCAATTCATAATTCAGTCTGTCAAAACCTTCTAGGCATGTCCCTTGGTATTTTCATGGTTGTACATATACACTGGTGAGCTGATTTGCTCAGTAATTGAGTGGTGAGGTGATTGTCCTTTAATGCAAAGGTTAAGAGTCCAAATCCTGCGTCTTGCACGGGGTCTGAATCTTTGCATTTTCCAGGGTAAGTTTTGACACTTCTCACATAGTAGCAGTATTTGTGCATAAATTACTAGACAGATCTTGAAAAAAGAAAAATCAATACAAATGTAGTCATGTGAAACACGTTTTCACAGAAGGTCATAATCTACATTAAATGTTTCTGAAAGTAGATTTATATACCTCAACAGAGCATCAGCATGTAGTGATGATCACGATGAATTACTTGAAGAAAATAAAGTGTTTCTTGTCCAAATGCTCAAAAATCTGCTTGGACCCCTAGTCTTCTTTTACTTGTGTTTTGTCTTTGGTTTTAAGATCACCAGTTCTGTCAGCCAACACAACAGTGACATCTTTTCTTCAACTTGGAAGTTTAGTGTTTAAGCCATGTACATTTCCATTCCGTTTTCTGTGGTGACTGAGAACTGAAACTCAGAATTTGGCTTCCTAAACCCTAAATGAGCCCTTTAAATTAGACTTGTTTTGCCAAACCTCTGTTCATGATGCAAAGTCAAACGAACATGGCTGCTGTGCACATTACTGTTACAAGAATGAATGATTTTAAAGCATTCCTGAGTCTGACAGCATGGCCTGTTGTCGAATCAATCAGCAAACTTATACAGTAACTGCAGGTAGTTTGACCTACAAGCAGTTTCAGCCACACAGTCACTCCACCAGGGTGGCTCAAATGCACAGAAGTCGGGAATAAAGTATCTCTTGTGTTTGACCTTTGACCTCTGACCATTACCATAGCTCAATCTGACCGTTAATTTTGCCTTCCAAGGCCGTAATGTCCAAATCCTGCAGGCCAGACATCAAACTGCCATCCATCCCACCCACTGTGGGACTGTAGTTGCACTCTCTATGGTCTGTAGTGTAAGGTGGTTTGATGAAAGTGCTCAGGCAGCTGTGAAGATTCAACAGCAACAGGTGTCCAGCAACAGGAAATGTTTCATACAGTATGTCTTTAGTGTACATCTCCCTTCACATGTCTCCTTGTTCTGTTGGCAATGTCCACTCTGATAAGAAATGGACATTTTGCTGTCCCCTGGACAGTGTGCTTCAGATATCACTGTGTTCTATTGCAACCAAACATAATCAGTCAGTCAGTCAGTCAGTATCTGTCTTGGTCTCGACTGTGCATGTCCCTGGTCCATTTGATCATAGTCTCTGGAGATCGATAGAGGAAGATCAGTTTGGAGTAAAGTTCCTCTTCCAGCTCCAGCTCTCCTGTCTCACGCACCTGAATCACACAGAAACATCAGTTTGTGGAAGGAGAATTTCCAGGACACTTCTGACAACATGGCAATAACTGTGTACATAAGTACAGTAAATATGTTTGACTGTGTTTGTTAATATGCACATGCTGCACACACTTACCAGGAAGATGTCTGTGCAGAGCTTCAGGATGCGGTCCACACAGGGCAGCTCCTCAAACATGATGGAGTGGGAGATCTCACTAAAGAAGCCGCGCACAAACTTCCCAATGACTAAGACCACGGACACATACAGACCCATGATCCTGGAACGAGAGAAATAAAAAGAAAAGAAAAAAAGAATATTTATATTTGAGAAACATTAAAAAAAAACAACTAACAATTGTTATGTTTAAAGGTGTTTAATGTGCAGAGGGGAACAGTATGGAAAATATCAAAAGCCTAATCTTAAGCATAAATTATTTCGCTAACCACAAACACAAAGGTTTTTTGTTGTTGTTGTTGCCCAAATGCAACCATTACTCGATAGTGTACTGGCAATGCATATTTGAAAAGCATCTGTGGTGAACATCACAGCACTGTTGTTAATGTAATTTGGCATTAATTACATTAACCTGTTTACAAAACCTGTAAAACAAAAAAAATGTCTTAATATAAGCAATCAACTGGGGAAGTTTCATGGTGATATCTGTTAGTTTACATTTTACCATATTCACCTATCGTGTCTTGTTTTTTGTCTTGTGTATATCCTAACGGTTTTTACACAGGGGATTGTTCATGTATCATTCATAGCCTGATTTATTGATCATTTTATTCCTAAAACATGGCAAAAGTTGATTTTTTTTATGCCTGTTGACAGTATTTTCAGATTTATGGAATAATATAAATAGATAGCTAAAATCTTTGAATCTATTATGTCAACACAATGAAACAAGCATTTTGTACCTGGCTTTGTCCTGTTTTCATATTTTTGTTCTGGAAATGTATGCAAATGTATGCATATTTAATTGAATAATATTATATTTAAAAATAAAACCTATGAAAACTGTGATATTAAAATAATATCCTCAACTAGGGAAGTTTCATGGCGATATCTATTAGTTCTTTTTCTTTCTTTTTTTTTTGCTTTTTTTCCTGTTGTGTCGCCCCTAAAAATATCTACACTGTGACATATCCTCAACAAAACCAGAACTATTTATAGCAGTGCTCTGGCCACTTATATGTACCTAAAAAGCTGATGATGATAAATATCAGGTCATACTAATGGTACTTGTTCATTTAAAAAGTTGTTCTGCCTGTCAAAAAACATTAAGCACATTGTTAGAAATCTTGGTGTTATTGTAGATGTAGATCTTAGTTTTGAGGACAAAGTGAACAACATTTTTTTTTAGACAAAAGAAATTTAGAAAATTAGATTATTTTTGTCTTCTGCTTATTTACATACCTGCATTTTACTCCATCGTCAGTTATGCTGCGTTCACATGAAATCAAGGAGACGGCAGAAGGAAAACCTGATAGTATTAGATGAAGCCGACAGAAAATACAGACAACGGTAACGGTAGATAGCATTGCCAGTAATGTTAAAAATATTTTAACTTTTTGCCGTCCTCCACGACAGAATTTACAACCGAATGTATTTAGCTCCAGAAACAAGTGTGATCTGGACAATTACTGGACATTACTAGAAAAATTACATTAACTAAAAAAATATTTCATTTAATATATTTTATTTAATTTAATTTTTTTTTAAACAATATGGCATCAACAAACCAACAAAATCATATCATCACGTTTCCTTTCACCATCCTGCCATTCTGTCGGACTGTTTATTTTCCCGTGCTGTCCAGAAGGTTTTGTCCATTTACCGTCCGTCTGATTCCATGTGCACGCGGCATTATGTCATGTCCTGACAACCTTAAGTTGCTCCCTGTTAGTTCATGTATTGATTATTTTGCTGCTGACTTTCGAGGTGCTAAATGTATCGCAGATTTGTTGACTCCTTATCTGCCTGTGCATCCCCTCTGATCCATGGATGTGGCTCTGGTAGTTATTCCTAGATCTCAGCTGTAAACCAAAGACAACTAATTCTGGTCCTTGATTTTGGCACATCTTTACCTTATTTTAAATGGCTCCTTAAAACATTAGAACTTCATAAATAATTACAATCTATATATCCAAACAATGTAAATGTTTAGTGTGAGTCTGGGTTCCTTACCCATATCCAGCCAGGAAACCCAAGCTGGGCGGACTGACTTTGTCATTGAATATGACCATGGGTAGAACCCCACATGAGGAGGAGGCACAGCCTGCGATGGCAATGTCCCACCACTCCTGGTTCCCACTGCCGTTCAGTGATCTGTCGCTCATCAGGGACAGGGTTATATTCAGGTAACCGTCTTCATTACCTACAAGACAACCAATTAGCTGTGTTAAAACACTCTGAGGTTTGAGTGACAAACATTAGTGCTGATATCCAGTCTGAGAATGTTAGCCCTTTTCAATATACATGTGCTGGCTTGGCTTGACTTGGTTTGATTCAGTGAGTCAGCCCAGTATGTCAGGGATTTGAATTTTGATACAACAGGGCTACCCACTCAGGCTGTTCTCATAAACTGTTAGTACGTCTTCCTATGAAATGCAAAGCACCCAAATTCGCATATATCCCATGTATTTTCAAAGTCTGCGATCACATGATGATTGGGCTGACAGGAGTAAACAAGGATTCAGTCCCGAATAGTAGGGTGGGTGGGGAGGTTCAACCACAGTCTTTCCTGCCTGCCTCAGGGTCCTGGAGGTGTGCAGGTCCTGGAGGGACGGAAGATTGCAGCTAATCACCTTCTCAGTGGAGCAAATAATATGCTGCCAAAGCGCTACTTAATGTTGACACTAAGGGCTCTAGTTTCCCGGCGCAGCGCAGGGTGGCGAACCCCGCACAGAGCTAGTTTCGAGCAGCGCAACCCGAGGCACGCTCAGTTTGGTAGTTTGGCAGACCGAGGTGAGCTGAGATGGGTGTGGCGGCGCAGCAGGGGGAGGTGTCGACAGATCCAGCTTGGCGCAGTGACAGTTTCTTGCCAAAAGGCTTCGCCAAAGGTGCGCTAAAAGCTCGCCAGCTGAAACCTACTGTCAGCGCAGGCGGAGCGCAGCCGGTGTAAGCCGAAGTTTGGCTGACCGGCAGACAGTGCGCACACGTCACCAAAACCTCACAGACAGGTTTCCAGAATGTCAGGCACATTAACGATGCAATAAATACCCAAAAAAAACACAATTCAATGCAACTATCTGCAATCAGCACATAAATGTATCCAGGGGCGAAAATCCCATTTCATAGATGGGGGGACAATAATCAGTAAAATTTTAGAGAATAATTCCAGGGGGGGACAAGGAAAAAAAGTTGTAGTCTGTCTTTTATACAGCATCTTTTACCGCAATTTGATGCTTTAATCTTCTCTCTATCTCTCCAACAGGCAGAGTGAATGTCTATACTAACTAAACTAAAACTAAAACTAAACATTTCCTGCAATTAAAGTGGTTTGAGTGGTTTATAAACAGCGTGCTGTGAGATCTGCCGCTGCGCACCTCACAACCGTGCGTAATAGTTGCGCGTAATGACCGCTCCTCGTCTGCACGTCTTTGATGTTTGTCTCACTGACAGGTGGAGAGCCTACAGACAGGTACCCATTGCTCCGCCACTGACTGCTCTTGTCCTGTCCTCTCCCTCTTCTTTCTCTCCTGTCCTCTCTATCACTAAACTCTGAGCTTAATCATTAGCTTTTAGCTTAGCAGCACTCGTAATTGAGTAGGCTTTTGAACAATGCAGGAGAAATGTTGCAGACAGTTTATATTATCAGCCTGGGCCTGGGGCTTGTTGTAACAGTAAATGGGATGTGTTGTAACTTGTGTAAGTTAAACTGTGTCTGTGTGAGTGAACATCTTACCCTGCGATGCGCGATGTGGGCAGCGGATCCAGCCACACGCTGCTACTGCTGCCAAGCAGCCCCGCTCGTTGGAAAGAGTGTGGGATATACCACTAATAGGAATGGGAGGGGGGGACTAAATCTTTTAAGATTTAAACAGCACATTATTGTGCGATTATAATGAGCACAGCTTACATTGTGCTTTTAATAAATACTACTGCATTGTTCAAAAATTATTAATTGTGTCTCAAATGATTCTAGGGGGGGACAGCTTTACTGAAGGGGGAGTCATGTCCCCCCTGTCCCCCCCGGGATTTCCGCCCCTGAATGTATCTCTATATCGACTGTCCCATCACATCTGATGTCAGATCAAAGGGGATTGGCACTGTTTGGCACGCGTAATGGAAACCCAACCTGATTTGATTAAAAACAGCTGCAAACAAATGAGTTCACATCCCTCTCAGCCAACAACAAACAGCCACAGCATCAGATAGGGAGTATATACTCAGCATCTGTCATCTTAGAAATTCAAAAGAAAAGAAACAGAGTGAGACTGCGAGAGAGGCACATTTAAGGCCGAATGGAGGGGCTCATTTGATTGGTGTGATGTGTGTAAAACCCACTCCACGCCTTCTCTCCTCCCTCTTTCCGACTTGCGCAGGTAGGAGGGACGGAGGTGGGAAAGAGGAGTAGCTGCGCCAGGCACACTGTGTGCCAAACTTGCAAAATCTGCCTGGCTACACCCAGTTGGCGAAGTGCAGGTGCGCTGCGCCCCCGCCTCGCCCGGTCTGCGAAACTAGAGCCCTAAATCATCCCCTAAATGATGAGGAAGCCAATCTGACCTCACTACAACCTGCTCGGAGGCGGTCTGGTGCACTTTTACCCAGCTCAGGAGGAGGTCCAACTTGGAAGCGATTCGGCACAACTTGGTGCATTTTAGCCAGTAATGGAAATGCAGATCACTTCAACATGGTTCGAGTTGGTGCAGCCAGAAGTGCCAATGTAAAAGCCATATCAGTCGCTAAGACAATAGTCAGGCTGTTGGTCATTATGCTGCTATCTAGTGTTTATCTTTCTGCCCAAACCCAAACAAGCACTTTACCACATTACTGCAACAAAGTGTTCTGTGACACCAAGTTGGTCATATTGCTCATATCAAGTAAGAGGGTGGACCCTGCATATTGTGAAGAAGCTGCAAGGACTGAACAACTTTTGTCAACAATATAATGGCATTTTAATGTCAACCAGTGACCTAATGTTACATTATGGAAAACATGTATGGGTAACTCATTTGGGTGTCTGGTTGCCTCCTCTATGACTGATGAAAATAATGCTGCCTGTAATATTTTTCATGTTATGAAAAACATCTTACATCTTACTTGAATACATTTTAACAGTAACTCAACAAACTCTGACCTTTATACAGTTGACTGACAGGTTTGGCCTCAGCTCCATTGGGGGCACGGATGTAGTTAGGAAACATATTAGGAACAAGCCTGGAAAGAAACAAGATGCCATCTGTAAGATACAACTACATGTATTAAAGAAAATGCAAAACACCTGTTTTCACATAAACATTCTTCCAGAGAGGAAACCTACACAGGCTCAGTGCGATTGCCAACCAATAGAGAGGCCAGATCTGCTCTGACTGGATTCCCAGGTTCCAGGTCTATGGAGTGTTTATCAAATGTGTGTTCAACTGTCCCTCCTTTGCCTAGGTCCCTGTCAGAGACAGAAACATTCAGAGAGAAAGAGAGACGAATACAATCAGCCTTTAGAAATGAAAAACATTCAAAGATACATCACATATACCCACTAATATCACAGTAGCATAACACAACTTTGTTTGTAGAACAGTAAAGGTTTTACCTCTGGAAGTTCCAGGCTAGACGTAGTGTTAGGTCAACAGGACTTCCAAGTAGCTCTTTGATGACTTCTTGTCTGCTGGGTGGACTGATCCTCCATACTGATCCTGAACTACCTTCAATCATCGCCGTCACAATATCCTCATAACTGTAGAGAGTGATGAACTGCATGGCTACCTAGATGCACATGCACACAAAAATATGCATGAAAAATAGGGGTAACAATTCAAGTAGGACACACAGACAGACACCTGTATACACACGCACCAACAGTCTCAGCAGAAACAGTCCTTGTCATTTTTCCCAAGGATGTTGTTTGAGTCTGTAACACACCACTGACTGAACTGAGTTACTTAAATTAGACAAATTGGGTGTTCCACCATCCATTTAAGATATCAGTGACACTGAGAGGGTGAAATCAATGCTGAGACAGTATGGAAGGACAGACAGTCTTTGGGCTGGGTATCATCAGCTGTGGTAAAAGAAACCATGGAAGTGAATAATTGGATCAAAGGAGGTGGTGTATATTAAATAAAGGAGGGGACCAAGCCACGATCCTTGCAGTACTCCAATGGAAAGACAGTGATGCCTGGACTGTTTTCCTTGCCATGCCACTTTCAACAATCAACAGGGTAATGACTGTGATAACTCAGGGTACATAGGAGAACATTTTTAAGTGTACTGAACATGATTAAACTGTAATGTATTTCTTTAGGTGTTGTATTTTCCAAAGCAATGACTTTGTGCCATATAAACTGATGGGAACAAAAGTGAGTCTTGGATTTAAAGCTGAAACATAACTTATGGCTATTAACATAATCCTGTAGTATCAAGTGCTTGTCCAGGAGTCTTTTGTGTTTGAGGTAATCACTAAAAGTAAACTTTTAAATATACATTTTCAGATTGAAAAATACTTCCAGAACCTGCAGCTCCATGTTCTGCGCTATTCCATAAAGGTAGGGGATTTTGACACATGTTGAATGATATCACAACTTTCACCTCCTTAGGGCTGTCTTACTAAATATATCAATTACTGCCTTACAGAATGACAGAACTGTTTAAATAAACTTGAGGATGGCACACCGAGTCTAAAAGAATTCTAAAGAACCAGTCTGATAATTGTTTGTATTTAGTAGACAGCAGGGAAAAACAGATACAGTAGTAGCAGTACATACAGATAGAGATATACATGCAAGTGAAATTAATACGTACTGCGTTGTCTCCAAAGTCTTTGGTAAGTTGGTCATATTCAGCCTCTGTGAAGGGTTGGATGGACTGCTGCTGCACACTCATGGTGAACAGGGACTAAACATACACAGAAAAAATACAGCAGTGGATTATGCACATACTCTGTCACATTTGCACGTATTTTCCATTTGGCTGTACTGTATGTAAACTGTAGAGATCCAGTGCTACTGAAATGATCTCCATCTTGCATACTGGAATTTGGGATGTGTATGGTAACCTTACTTTTATGAGCCCTGGCAAAGAATTCAAATTCTAATTCTAATGATAATCCATGATCCTTTTGATTCTCAAACTTCCATCCTCTTGGCAAATGTACTTGCCAGTTGATCAGAACATGCACAGCCGCAAAACGTACCACAGAATTGAGTCTACAGCACAATTTAAAATGCCCAAGTCTTTCAAATTCCAAGCCTCCAGTTTGTAACACTGGTTTTCTGTAGTCTCAGTCCACAACTGGGATAACCCTGATTACCTGATTGAAGTGATTTCACTTTCAAAAATTATCAGCGTTTGCTTGTTTAAGCTATTCAATCATACCCATAAAGTAATTTTGTTTAAATTTTGATGTCTATGATTAATATTTAGTTTCCCAGATAAAAAGTAAAAAACAATATTCTGAAAGGGGGCTGGAAGCACTCTTTCTCCCTTGCAGAGAAAATCTGAATCTTGGCCTTGCGGGCAGTGGTAGGTTGACCGGTAAAAGAGCAGCACACAGCACATCAAAATCAACTAGCATATATATCAGAATGGTAAGCATAGCATCTTTGGTTTATGTTGTTTGCTAGCTTGTTAGCTTGTAACAGGCAGTGACTGACACATTAGTGGTTGTGACACATACAATAATATCTGCAATGATGTAATATGAAATGTTAATTACCTCGTATCCTCCCAGCTTGACAGTCACTGTGACATCGATGGGGTGGTTGACCACACCCACCACTGATCTGACCAATGAAATGAACAGAAGGGGAAACCAGATGATGCAGATCAAGAAGAAGATGATGAGTCCGCCCATTCCATATTTCACTATCTTCTTCTTCTTCTGTCCTTTAGGCTGTGGGTATTTCTGAGGGCAGAAAATATTTTTTAATAGATAATAAAAATTATTTAAGTTTGGTTTTTTTCACTTGAAATGCTGAGTATTTTCTTTACATGTAGTGCAAACCATAATTTAGAGGAAATTGGCACTGGGTTTTTATTTGTCTGTGACCCTGTGAGGAAGTCATTGCTTCTCTGCTCTTTGCAGGTGATGTGTTTCTGTTGGCTTCATCTGACTGTCTGGCGGATGTTTGAACTAAATTGTTCAATCTGCTGCCACCGCAACCCCGCCATGGATACACAGCAGAAAATGCTTGGATGGATGGTGGGAAAGAGACTCATACAGTACACCAGTACACTGAACCACCCACAATTGGGTTAAACATTTGTGTTTAATGGGGCTCCTTTGTAATAACAAGACTAAAGGTTTCAAACACCATTAGTTGCACCCTAGAGACTGGAATGTTTATTAGACCCTGCAGTATGAAAGCAGACAAAATGGTCAAAATTTTGCTACCTATAGAGCCTCACAACAGGGTGTCTTCACCAAACACAAGCTGTATATAGGACACTGATGGACTACAGTACGTTTCCGTCAGTTTATCTATTGTAGCTGATTCTGAGGAGTTACTGCTTTCCCCCTTTAATTAATGGTCTGCTGTCATATCATTGTACTCATACACGACATACCTTCTCAGTCTCTCGACTGCATTTAATGATGAAGATGTTGGCATAAATGTCCTCCACACACATCCAGTTTGACAAAGACAGAGTCGTGTCAGTCCAAACCCAGTCCATCACTGCTCGCAACTCCACCAGGAATGGCACAAGACGAAACCTACATTTAAACATAAGCACAGCATCCATATCATACTGTCAATTTACTATATGCTGACTCTTGGCCCATTTAAAGCTGGGGTAGGCATTTTTGTTTTGGTTTCACTGGGCAAAAATCCCATAATAACTTTGAGCATATTTTTATTCAAATGGTCTGAGAGAAAACTAGACATGTTCCGTTCCATCGGTTTTCAGGCTTTAGAAAATCTAGCCAGTGATGTAGAGAAAGGTGCTATTCCAGCATAGGCAACAACTGCCTAAACTGCAAAGCAACCCAAAAATGGAAGATGGACTTTTAAATAAAAAAAATAAATACTGTATGATGCACATGTATATGCCTATGCTCTCCTGATGCGAGGGACAGACAAAGGAGAACTGCAAGGGGAGGTTGGGTTTTCAAATTCTACGTTGTTTTTTTTCCTTTCCCAGAGGACTTCATAACCCAACTTTAACACTCTCAGTGTCCTTTAGTATTGATAAAGGTTCACTTAATATCTGTCAGATAGATACACATAGCATTTCCACTGGACTGTTGATCTCACCCTTAAAAGAGAACTAAAACAATTATATATAAATAATATGCAAACACTTCTTTGACTCTTGGAACATCTGTTCCAAATGTTTATACTACTATAGTGTGCAGAAAGGTGCAGTCTTGCTTTGTGTCCATACCCTTGGAAGAGAAACAGGTTGAGGTGGTTGTATTTCTTGGTGAGGAAGTTGCCGAGGATACGAGTGGGATATCCACAGCGGATCTGATAGGCTGACAGGCCAAAGTAAATACACTTGACAAAGTACCAGAGCTGGGCAACAAAGTTCTGATTGAACTTCCTAAACAAAGAAAAGGAGAATGAGTCAGAATAAAGCTTGTTAAGAATGTTAAATTTAATCTGCAGAAGTATTCTGAAGACTAAACTCATACAGTATGGTGTGTGGTATAATCAGAATGATGCATTTTTACCAAGATAAACCAAAATGCAAGTCACTTTTTGTGATTTAGTCCATTGGTGATAACCAATGGATACCATGAATACTCCAATAATACAATAAATATATGATTTAGTTTGACTTCACCTCTCGGTGACAGCAGGCAGGATGAAGAACATCCAAAGGTGGATCCCAAACACAAGGATCACCTGGACAGAAGTGGGACAGGCATGGTGTGAGGGAAAAAAAACTTCAAATACTCAGAAAGTAGAAAAGCACGTTAGTAGAGATGTTGTTAAGTGAAGAGCAAGGCAACTCTACATATGTCATCCTAACAAATATTACTGGCCTCTCCAAATGTCGCCTAGTTCTCACCTGTAACATCAGTTCCCCATCTGGGCACTCATAAGGGTACATGATGTTATAGATTAAACTTTTCCGGGAATACATTTGCAAAGAATGCTGAAATGCAGACATGAAATTCTACTCGCTGATGTCTGATTTAATGTGTGATGGTGGATGAAGGAACAAACAAAACAAGTAGCAGAGAGCCACAGACCTAACTTTTTCAGTGAGAAAATATGGAACAAGACAGACAGCTGAACGGCAATAATCTGAATACATGAACTGAACCTGGAAGATAAGTTTTCCCAAGACAGCTTTGCGCAGGTACAAGGCTCTGTCAATGATCATGGTGCTGAACTGGATGAGCAGCATCACCAGGAAGGCCTCAGGAACCTGGTCCTCTGACAGGGTGGAGGCTATATCAGCTGCGGCACTGTGTTTCTGAAGGAGAGAGACTGAAGTCATGGGACTGTCAAGAGAAATCTGTAATAAATATTGTCAATTAGCAATACCTGACACTGCATGCAAAATAAGACAAGCCTAGTAAACTTAAGCAAGTTGACTGAGTAGGCCTACTCAATTTTAATAGCATCTTAAGTTTTTGAAGATGCTCTCATTTCAGTTTGGTTTCAATTTTGAAACAAAAAAAAAACATTCTATCTTAATCACAAAATGTGATTTCGTCTCATTGTAGTTTCTGTTTTCATTGACGTAAATCATTAATTATTGTTAAATAATTACAAACTGACATCTGCATCAAACCTTCTATTCATCTCTCACCCCAAAAGCCCAAAAGCCAAAGACGACGATAATGAAGTCAATGACATCAGTCAGAAACATGAGTGCATAGACATCTGTGGCAGCCCGATACTCAGCATGAAGAATACCCCTGAAGAAGCCCTGCACCGGCTTGTAAACACTCTGAACACTGCAGAAGAAAACAAGATGGCATACATTAAACCACTGCATTAGTGCAAAAAGTGACGACATTTCAGTAAAACATTAAACTGTTTTCATTTTCTTCGAAGGATTGCAACAAAATTATTTGTATTACTCCAAACTATGTTGATTATTAAGTGATTAATAGGGGTTCGGGAAAAAATGGATACAGCATTTTATCGCGATATTATGTGTGGCCTTAATGTATCAATACAGGGACACCAAGTATCTGTCTTTTATCATATACATTAATAATTTTTGCATACACATTTTAATGCATATTATGGTACTAGAATAATAAAATCAATTGTTTTTTTGTTCCACTAGATGGTGCTGATGTTTTTTCCTGGTGAGGTCAGCAGAGGTCTCAGTCTGCAGCATTTGGCAGGAAGTTCATCAAAACAAAGATGGAGGCACCGGAGAAAGAAATCAGAAACACACCGTCAGTGTTTGAATCAAACGTCTCGACTTATTTTGGATCTTTCAAGACGGAAGGAAAGGAGGATTTAGATATGACACATGCGATTTGCAAGCCGTGTCCATCATCCAGAGATAGCGTTAGCCGCTAATGGCCAAGCTAACACTAAACCCGCTCCCACTGCACACACTTGACAAAACTACCATCCATCTCTGAGAGAGCAAAGAAAATAACACAGCCCATCACCTACTTCATGTGCAAAGATCTGTGTCCATACAGCGTTGTTTAAAACAAAGGCTTTTGTTACATGCTAGAAACACTGGAACCCAGGTATGTGACTCCATCCCAATGTTTTTTTTACCAACACAGTTGTGTCCAAGCTTTGCAGAGAAGTGAAGCATAAAGTTGAGGAATCTTTGAATAAAGCAGGAAGGGTGGCATTAACTTGTGACGCCTGGACTTCAAGGTCAGTGGATTCATATATGACTATAACGGCACATTATCTCACAGTGAACTGGCGACTGCTGTCTCACATTCTCCAAACTAGAGCAGTACACGAAAATCACACACAAGCAAACACTGCAGACCTCCTGCAAAATGGGGGATTGTGGTTGTAACAGACAACTTTTCTAACATAGGTGTTGCCATTCAATAAGCGGGATACCTGCATGTAAAGTGTTGCACACATGCACTTAATCTGGCCTCACAGAGGGCGTTAAATCTGCCAACAGTACAGTTTGTCAGGTGTATGCAGCATTTCTGACAGGTTTTATGACGGTGTTGGTCAGTCTGTCTGCTTTGCATCACATTTTTCTGCAATAAAAATGGTTAAAGTCAGAGGGACAGACTGAAAACTTTATCTGATGAAACTGATGTTGTCAAAGTTTTCCTTTGGGGAAATAATTTGTAGTTGGAAAAAAATGGTAATATATCGCAATGTATTTTATCGCAATATACAGTATATCGCAGAATCACAATAATATCGCTTTGTGACCTAAGTATCATGATAATATCGTATCGTAGGTCCGCTGGCGATTCCCACCCCTAGTAATTAACGTGAAATATTTTGATGAATGTTTTTAGAGGGGGGTGCCTACTCTACTCACCCAGAGATTAAGACATGTTTTATCTTCTGTCCCACAGCCAGCAATCTCTGACTGGCTGCCTCTGCCCTCCTGCCTTTCTGCTTCTTCTTCTTCATTGGCTCTTCACAGGGCTCTTCAGTCTCAGCTGTGGACTCCACTGAAACAGCTGCAAGAAGGGATTCAAACACAATTAGCACCACAGAGAAAGAAAAGGTTGCATAGTTTAAAATCTTTCCACGTTATGTCAATATCTTGTGGTCCAAATGACACATCAGCATAGAAGATCAAGATAAACAGAAAATACCAGTTGAGTGGAGCCCAGAAACCGTAAAAGGTTCCTCAGTTGAAAGCAGAATTTACTTGCAATCTTCCAAAATTAACATTGGTGTTTGGAACAGCAAATACAGTCAGCTGTGATGATTCCTGCAGCCAACAATCACAGCATGCATGTTGTCAAGAGTTAGCTCCAGGAATCTTGTCTGTGTCTCAACAACAGATTATTTTGTCCAAAGTGACTTACAATGAGCAAATTAAAACACGTGGGTACAACATAATAGAGGGGATACACATTCTTATCAATGCAGTGAACAACTACATCAGAGGTTGTGTTACACACAGACCCAGCACTGTACAGGACAGTGTAATATTAAATGTGAAAGCAGCAGCAGGAAATGCTCAGTTTGGATTAGCAGTACTGAACACTGCTCACACAGTCCCAACACAGCTTTAGGTGAGGTGGCTGCTGGATGAAAGAAAGAACGGGGACACAGAAGTGGAACACAACAATATGGAGACTTTTATTGACACAGGAGTTATCAAAGTACTGACATGAACATAAGACTTGGCACTTTCTTACTCGAGGCCAATGCAATACCAACACAGCCATTGTACCTGCCCTACCAGGTGAGCCACTGGGCACCCAGTTTTGGCTGAGACTTGTTTAAGACGGAACAGGGCAACAACGTTGCAGGCTGTGTTTGAATTTGCATCATTCAATAACTTTGGAAAACCACTGGTCACAGGGGCTGGTGAGTGAAAAAGTTAAAGTTAAGCCCTGCAGCTATTATTTATTCTGATGAGAGCTTTCACCGTAGAAGGTTTTGTCCCAGTTCATTAGCTGACACCTTGTGGAGACATGTCCTGACAAAGGTGCAGCCTGCAGGTTATTGTACTAAACCAGCACCTCCTTCCCAGCGACAGTGTAGCCTCACAGAGACCCAAATTAATGGTACACTTAAGTGTTCTTCATCAGCTTGTTAAGTTGGAACTTTCAAAGACTCTTTGGTTATAGTAAAAACAGTTAGAGTCCTGGGTAGTGACAGAGAGGAACATGAATCTCTCCCAAAATGAGTATAAATGAACCATCAAAGGATCCAACAAGTATTTAGCATGATGTTTACTGAGGCCTTATCTTAAGAATCTCTAAAGAGTGTCTTTTTTACCACACAGGATGACTGACAAGATGATGATGATAGACCTTAATCAATGCAGATATTTTTGACTTGTCATAGTAGATTAAAAAAGTGAGGACACTTTCTCACCAGTGTGTCAGTAAGTAGCTTTTGCATATTCAAAACCAGCTCCTTGAATGTAGTACACCTTAATGGAATGCCAGACAGTGTTAATGTTAGTCCACACATAATGAAAGCACACACCTTTGCTGCGCTGTTGTTTGGGTTGTTTAGGTTTCTTGCGGAAGCGAATACTGCTGCTTTTCTTTGGGACTTCCTCGATCACCTGCTCAGGGTATCCCTCCCTCTTCTCCTCCTCCTCTGGCCTGGTGGGAGTTTCCTGTCCATCATTTGACTCCGTGGGTGCTGCTTCAGCTGCAGCAGGTTGTGTGATCGCAGCAGAGCTGGTGCTCGGTTCAGCATAGTCCACATCATCCTAAATTGCAATTACAATACAATTCCTTAAACAACAGCATCTATAAAAGTAGTCTAATACCTTCAAAAATAAATCTGCTGATATTATTTATTATTATATGATATTGATGCTTTATGGCCAAGAACATGTTCTTTAAAACGGATTATTAACTGGGCAGTGATCAATAGCAACTAATGTCATGTTATCTGCACCAACCTTTGGAAGCTGGTCCAGTTCAGTCACTTCAAGGTTTTCCAAGGTAGATGCTGAGCTCACTCTGCCTTCCTCCTCCTCCTCTCGTCTTCTCTCCTTCCTCCTTCCATCTTCATCTCCTTCTCTAGCTTTTCCTTCATCCTTATCACTTTCTGATGAGGGGCTCTCCTCCTCCAGGGGACCCTCGTGGTCCCAAAGGCCATAACGCTGTGCACGAACACACACACAGAAATTCAAATGGAGGAGGCTGAAGTCATGCTGACATTAGTGGAATTATCCAAGAGCATTACTGAAGGGCGATTCCTTCAACATTCCACTCCTCTCCCAGTGTGGGGAGAGTCCATCCTGTTCTTTGTTAGATTTGAAAAAGTTTATTGGAGAAAGGTCTACCAATCCATTTCTCAGGTAAAAATGAAACATATACAGTACAGGCCAAAAGTTTGGACACACCTTCTCATTCAATGCGTTTTCTTTATTTTCATGACTATTTACATTGTAGATTCTCACTGAAGGCATCAAAACTATGAATGAACACATGTGGAGTTATGTACTTAACAAAAAAAGGTGAAATAACTGAAAACATGTTTTATATTCTAGTTTCTTCAAAATAGCCACCCTTTGCTCTGATTACTGCTTTGCACACTCTTGGCATTCTCTCCATGAGCTTCAAGAGGTAGTCACCTGAAATGGTTTCCACTTCACAGGTGTGCCTTATCAGGGTTAATTAGTGGAATTTCTTGCTTTATCAATGGGGTTGGGACCATCAGTTGTGTTGTGCAGAAGTCAGGTTAATACACAGCCGACAGCCCTATTGGACAACTGTTAAAATTCATATTATGGCAAGAACCAATCAGCTAACTAAAGAAAAACGAGTGGCCATCATTACTTTAAGAAATGAAGGTCAGTCAGTCCGGAAAATTGCAAAAACTTTAAATGTGTCCCCAAGTGGAGTCGCAAAAACCATCAAGCGCTACAACGAAACTGGCACACATGAGGACCGACCCAGGAAAGGAAGACCAAGAGTCACCTCTGCTTCTGAGGATAAGTTCATCCGAGTCACCAGCCTCAGAAATCGCAAGTTAACAGCAGCTCAGATCAGAGACCAGATGAATGCCACACAGAGTTCTAGCAGCAGACCCATCTCTAGAACAACTGTTAAGAGGAGACTGCGCCAATCAGGCCTTCATGGTCAAATAGCTGCTAGGAAACCACTGCTAAGGAGAGGCAACAAGCAGAAGAGATTTGTTTGGGCCAAGAAACACAAGGAATGGACATTAGACCAGTGGAAATCTGTGCTTTGGTCTGATGAGTCCAAATTTGAGATCTTTGGTTCCAACCGCCGTGTCTTTGTGAGACGCAGAAAAGGTGAACGGATGGATTCCACATGCCTGGTTCCCACTGTGAAGCATGGAGGAGGAGGTGTGATGGTGTGGGGGTGTTTTGCTGGTGACACTGTTGGGGATTTATTCAAAATTGAAGGCACACTGAACCAGCATGGCTACCACAGCATCCTGCAGCGACATGCCATCCCATCCGGTTTGCGTTTAGTTGGACGATCATTTATTTTTCAACAGGACAATGACCCCAAACACACCTCCAGGCTGTGTAAGGGCTATTTGACCAAGAAGGAGAGTGATGGAGTGCTGCGGCAGATGACCTGGCCTCCACAGTCACCGGACCTGAACCCAATCGAGATGGTTTGGGGTGAGCTGGACCGCAGAGTGAAGGCAAAGGGGCCAACAAGTGCTAAACACCTCTGGGAACTCCTTCAAGACTGTTGGAAAACCATTTCAGGTGACTACCTCTTGAAGCTCATGGAGAGAATGCCAAGAGTGTGCAAAGCAGTAATCAGAGCAAAGGGTGGCTATTTTGAAGAAACTAGAATATAAAACATGTTTTCAGTTATTTCACCTTTTTTTGTTAAGTACATAACTCCACATGTGTTCATTCATAGTTTTGATGCCTTCAGTGAGAATCTACAATGTAAATAGTCATGAAAATAAAGAAAACGCATTGAATGAGAAGGTGTGTCCAAACTTTTGGCCTGTACTGTAGTTTGAAAATATAAGAACATTTGTCACTTTTGTGAGGCATGTCCATCTATGTTTTGCTACAGTAAGCATGTGGGCAGGGGCACATTAGAAATAATGGTCTGAGCACAAGTTATCCTATCATACTGAACTATAACACTCTGTCTATATACTATCATGTATATAGCCATCAAATTCATACTCAAGATTTCCAATTTTAAAAATGAGTCTTTGGAAAAAACAAAAAAGTCAGTTTGACAAACTCATAAAATTGATGCTAATTAGCTACAGCTAATAAAATATGAAACTTATCCATGTCAGGATACCAGTAATTTAGTAGCTGATACCAGTGCCAGTAAAATTCCACCATTCTTGATACCCATGTCGATAATACAGGGAAAAAACAAAAACAAAACAATAATGTCATGTACTTAAACATACACTCTTTTATTCAAAAATAATAATGTGATTTAATGTAAATTGTAGTTCTAATCCCTGATGATCCCCCAGAACACAAAGTACTAGTCTATGTGGGTTCATGGGAGTTTGTGGGTTACGAAACATAAATTAATATTAGGGCTGTCAAAATAACGCATTAATTAAAATTAATTAATCACACAAAACATCACGGCTAAAAAAAAATTAATGCATATTAATCACATTCTGTGGTGCCCTTTGACCCTGTGCATCTTTGAAGGCCCCAGTGGCTTTGTCATATGATGGAGGCAGACGAGTCATTTAACAGACTAGAACACTTGTAGGTGTAAATACTATCTAGTCAGGGCCGGAAGAATTGCATCCCCAGTACCTACAGTATTTAAGGTAGTGTAGAAAAACGAGTACTATCATGTTTTCACAGTTTTGGCATCAACTTGGTACCAAAGTATCTGTTCTCATGACATCCCCAGCTACCATTATCCTTGTAAACGCCATACTGGAATTAAAAGCTTGGTAGGGCTTAGCAAAGATCCTACTGATACCTATTGATACTGACCATGAGCAGGGATCTGTGAAAGAACAGCACCAGCAGCTGAAGAAGATCATATCTGATGTAGTTGTCAGTCTTCTCCAGGCCCAGGATCCGAGGTGGGAAGAATGGTTTGTCTTCATTTAAAGTCATCTCATAAACACTGTTCCAAGGAAAGAACCCAAACTGGAAAAGGTATTTCACCAACACCATCACCTGGAGAGAGAGCAGCACAGCAGGTCACACAGTCAGACCAGAAAAAAAGCACAGAGAAGGCAACAGTACACATGCTGCTTCCCATCAGACCAGCCAGTGCTTCTCTTGAACTGATTGTAATTTAGTAACTGGATGGTGAGCGATCTTCAAGTAACTAATCACCTGAACACCTGAACAGGAGTGTTAGTCTGCCTCTCATTATTCCATGGCAAGATGCCTGTAAAGAATTACTAGATTATTTACAGTATAAGTTGTTAATATAATTATTTAGCTGCCAAATTCATTCTATCTACTGCTTGCTGTCAAAAATGTAGTGTCTTACTACATGGTTACTACCTTTTTACAAAGAACATACAGGCAGAGGGCAGTCTCAGCCCGCTCTCTTTACCAGGTCATCATATACCAACATGTTTTAGGGTTTCTGCAGATGAATACACTGTCACACTTCTAGTGGGTCACAAGTGATGATTGAGAGGGATAACTTTTGTGTGAGCCTATTTTTTTTTTCTTTGGAAAATTCGGCATAGTGTAGCTTTAAGTTTCTTAGTTGTGTCTGTGTGCCTTTCAGTGTTCATACCTCTGTGTAGACGATAGCAGTCATCCAAAACCTCTTTGTCGGTCTTGGAACAGACAACATAGCCCACAGGAACACCAGTATGGGGAGGACCAGTGATATCACAGAGGCACTGACCATGTTGTTTAACACTATGATAAAATAACAGACGAGCTCAGAGTTGGCTGCCAGCAGGTTGTACATGGCAAACAGCAGCTTCAGAAGACGGCTCTGGTTGTTATAGAACTCTCTGCTCTGTTCCAGCTCCTCAATGAAGAACTGCCTGCAGAGAGAGGACGGAAAGTCACAACCATGAATTTGTATTTATTGATCATTGTGTTCATCACCAGTCTTTCAATAACTGATGAAGCCAACAACCAGAACAAAGAAGTAAATTGCAAGTTAAAATAAACTATTCTTGAACACATTCATGATACAAACATTGTGGTATTACTGCTGCTAGACACTCTGTGAAACTGAGGTGGACAACTTAAATCAGTAGCCACTGTCACTGATCATTATCAGCGTTCTTCAGTCACCAGTGTCCACAGTATGTACCTGTCTCCCAGCAGCTCACTGGCTGTTCTGGAGTGTCTGTGTTGTTGTTTGGATGGGACTGGTAGAAGCTCCATGCTGCTGGATGGGGGTTCTGGACTCAACAGGTTCCCAGTGCTGTTGAGCCTTGGTCTTGGGGTAGACCGGCCTGTCACACCTCTGCTGTCCACCTCCAGGCAGCTGAGAGTCAAACACACAAACATATAAAAACTGAGAAACTGAAGATGTAAAGCCCCGCGAACTGACAACCTATAAAACAGGTGGACATACCAAACACACTATTATCTATTCTTAAATCCTTATTAGTAGTGCCGGTAAATCATGCACATTTTGTCCTGATGATATCACCAGAGAAAAAGGTACTGAGGTATCAAAAATATAGAGAACTTTATTTTTTCAACGTGCTCACGAAAGTTCATGGCAGTTAACACATTCAGCACAACAGCGTCCACGTTTGAATAAGGAGAAGCTCTCATTACATCACCTAGAGAGGCACTGCCAGGGAGTGAAACAAAATGCTCTGAATGAAATCAAATCAAATTTTGTTTCACTCCCTGGCAGTGCTTTTCTAGGAGTGGTGCGTCTCAGTGGTTGGTAAATAAAAGAGTGACACACACTCTTTACCATACTAACCTGAATTTGGTGGAGTCTGCATCAGTCTCATCCAAACAAGTCTCCAGTGTGGGATTCTCACTGTCCTCTGATATCTGATCGTCTGTGGAGTCTGCTGTTGGATGCTGTTACCAATCACAGCAAGACGGACACAAGTTAAACTGTGTGTGTGTGTAAATGGACCTGCATTTGTATAGCGCCTTTCTAGTCATCCAACCACTCAAAGCGGTTTTTACACTACCAGTCACATTCACCCCTTCACACACTGGTGGCCGAGGTTGCCATACAAGGTGCCACCTGCTACTCACACACTGATGGAACAGTCATCAGGAGCAATTTGGGGTTCAGTATCTTGCTCAATTATACTTTGACATGCAGACTTGAGGAGCCAGGGATCGAACCGCTGATCTTTCGATTGGTGGACGACCCGCTCTACCTCAGAGCCACAGCCGCCCCTGTGTGTGTGTATGTGTTTCTTAGTGCGTGTCTCTAAAATCTTAGTTGTGTTTACCTGCTGTATCTTGTGTATGATGAAGTAGCGTTCGTTGCACAGAACAGTAGATGTTTCTCTGTACTGTTTGGTCAGCAGGTTGAGCCATTGAGTCAGTCCATCCACCATGGCCAGAACAATGGCCCATAAGAAGCGCAGGATATCCAGGATCCTCTGAACCATCTCACCATGACCTGCAGCACACAGATAGAGAAAGACAGAGGTACAGGGGATATAGTAAAGGAAGCAAACTGTGACTATATTCTCACATTAGTAGAAATGTGAGAATATAGTCACAGTTTGCTTATTTATGGTGACTGTGGTAAAATCGATGTGTTGTTGCATGTGTTTACTGTTATCTGTGTACTGTCTAAGGAAAAGGGCTATCCCAACCTGATAAAGCTGAGAATCTGAACCAACTAACTTAATCTTAAGACTGATTGTACTGGCTTTATGATGCTTGATAGAATTATACTCTATTTAACTGTTTCTGCTCTTGTTAAGTTAAGTTCTTGTTAAGCCCCGTTTTCTGGACATCCAACCAATATACTATACTATATACAAAGTATTTGTTAGGCTCAAGAGTTACTGTCATGATCACCATAACTAACTATGAACAGAACAGGAATGTAGAATTGACACAGCAGCATGTTGTGATGGTGACAGGTGGAGGAAGCAAAGAGAATGTAAACCTACCAGACTCCTCTTCCTCCGGCTCCTCCACCTCCTCCTGAACGCCAGGGTCCTCAAACACATCATTGTCCCCACAACCTACACACACACACACACACACACACACACACACACACACACACAGTATACATACTTTATGCTCTATGATTGCAAAGTGGTATATATGCATTGAGATTATATAAGACTCTTTGCAACTTTGCACAGAATACAAGTACTAATGCATGGTTCAGACTACACAACGTTTTTGTCCATTCCGACAATCACTATGTCAGATTACATGATTGTGAAGTCATAAAATCTTGCTGCCAACAGACATGACAGACTACACGTTAGTCCAACACCAATCATCTCTGGTCATCTTTCACGAACTGCGTGATGTCATCAGATTATTCTTGTGCTATTTTTATTATTGTTACAATCATCTTAGTCACTATGACTGTTCATGTCATGTTCATACTACAAATGTTATTGTAGTAACATAAATAGTGCCACCAGATGTCAGGAGCTACATTTTAAGTACTCATGAAAACTATGCAAGTCACTGAATCCTCCACAACAAGTTCCTGCAAATGTTTCACAATAAAAGCCTCTTTAGAAAATTAAGTGGCTCTCTTAACCCAAAATTTTAAGGGGCTTTTAATTTCAAATAGATATAGGAAGTGTTGAGTGTGAAATGAGGGTGTGGTGCATTAACTCTGACAGGTCAAATGGGAGCAGATTAAAAGTAAAAATAGAAAAATACAGACGGAATAGGAAATAAAGGCTCATTTCTAATGGAATCTGTTCCAAGTGAAGCTGGTACCCTCTGCAGTTGCGGTAAGTAAAATCCCTGTCACTATATGTGAATTTTATTCTTATTCTTTGCTAGCTTGATGCTAATGGCAGTACTCCCCAGGTTGCTGAAGTGCCTCTTCTATTTCATGCCATCATTTTCCCCTTTTTACTCTGTGTGGTAACATCCCTAGAGGAAATATCAAAAAGGCTGGGGTGTTATTGTCATACTGTTGTCCATGGCAGCAGATCACTCTGTGTTCCTATTAGTCAAAGTGACAGCTGTTGACAGGAGAAGTTGTGGAAGACAAAAAGAAAATCAAACATGCTAGACTTCCTGTCAGGATGTCATGAGGCATTCCAGATGTGGTGTCGGTTGTCGTCTACTATAACACACTACCTGGGATAAAACAATGGATTATTGCCTACAACACTCACTGTAATTCATGATCCACCAATAACCGTGTCGGGCTATAATCGGGCTGATATTGTGTAGTCTGAACCCAGTATAGGACAGATAAATGCAGTTGCATTAGTTAAACTAGCTCACATCCTTTCTCAAAACTTGAAGCTTCTCTGTCAACATTTCTTCTCCCTAGTCAGTCTCTCCTGAGGGGTCCCACAAGGTTCCATCCTCGGTCCAATTCCATTTTCTATGTACATGCTCCCTACCACTGTTATGCTGATGACACACAGCTTTATCTCCCCCTGAAACCAAAAGACAAGCCTTATCTAATTAGTCTTATAAACTACCTTGAGGACATAAAGTGCTGGATGGCACAAAACTTCCTGCAGCTGAATCAAAGCAAGTCTGCAGTTGTCCTTTTTTCCCCTGAGGACATCAAAGTTATTACCAACAATTTTGGCAACCCATCCACCAATGTGAAATTCCATGTCAAACACCTTGATGTGATGTTTGTGATGCTTCAGTCGTTAGGTTTGACAAGAAGGTCAAAACAGTAGTAAAAGCCATTTTTTCTAGCTACACACTGTCACCAAAATCAAAGTGTTTCTCTCATTGAAAGATCTTGAGAATGTCATTTACATCTTTATATCATTCCATTTGGACTGTTGCAGTTCCCTGTGTACTAGGATTAATCAGTCTACCCTGTCCAGCCTGAACCTGGTCCAGAATGCCGCAGCCAGGCTCCTGACGAGTTCCCAGAAGAAGAACCATATTACACCTTGTCTGGCCTCCCTCCACTGGCTGCTAGTATGGTTTAGAATTAATTTGAAGGTTCTCCTGTTTGTGGGCTGGGCCTTCCTTTATGGCAGACCTCCTAATCCCCCCATTCCATCTCCAGTTTCCTCTGGTCATCTGACTTGGGTATCAAAGCTGTCACACAATCTAAACTTAAGGGAGGAAAAAAGGATGTAAGAATATCTGACCTATCACAGAAAAAGCCTCCTGTTGTGAATCCACTCTTTGTTCTCTTTCTTTCTCTTTCTTCTCAATCTTCTTCAGCTGTCTCTGATGTCTCTGCCGTTCTCTCAAAGCTGCTTTCACACTGGACACCCATGCCTGGTATGCCAGCTGAGGGGAAAAAAAAAAAAAATCAACCACACATACAACATATAAAATTAGAGTTTCAACACAGCATAATAAACAAAGCAGTGTTGAATTTTTTAAACATTTGGAACATACTCATTTACATTATCAGTCAATAGTTTATAATCAGATATAGAGGACAGTCAACCCAATCGCCAAAAAAATGTTGGCATTGTATGTTTCTTCAAAGAGATTTGTTACATTTTCACATTATCAGGTAGCGAACCCACTGAAACTCTACGTTTAAACAACACTGTAATTAACTTGTGGTTAGGTTTAGGCACAATATCCACATGGTTATGGTTAGCAAAAGATCATGTTTTGCCTTAAAAATTTGAGGTCACAATCCCCGCTGGAAAAGCAGTGATGTCTAAGTAAAAAACACCTGCTTCTTGTGCCACAGTCCCGACAGGAAACGTGGCATTGTCTCATTGTTGTGATAAAATACCCATGCCTCAAACAGTGGTCTACAGCATGGCAGGCATCCCATGCTACTATCCTGGCAGGAAATGTGCCGTTGTCTGGGTAAATAAAAAACAAACAAAAACAAAAAAAAACAACACTTTTCATGCCACTAACCCAACAGGAAATGCAGCGATGACTCGGTAGAAAACAACAACTTTTGTGGCACTACCCATGCTGGAAAAACAGCGACAGGTCCCAAAAAACACCCATGTTTGGTTTTGTTGTTTGTTGATCTTGAACTGGTTCAGTTCAGACAGTTCACCAACCATTCCCTCCACTTCCTATACTACATCACTTTAGAAATGTTGATGTGATGCCGATGAAAAGTACAAATGTAATGTATATGTGATTTGCAGAAATGTACAATGTAAAATGTACAGTACTAATGTTGTCTTCTGGCAACTGGGCTGGGAGATGTAACTTACCGGGCAGAGCTTTACAACTGTCTACTACAGCATTATACCTGACTTTCTATGGTCATGCTGTAGCCCCATTTCTGTTTGTCCAACACATTCTCACTCCAAACTCGTCACATAGCCGTGTTTGGTCATGGAATTTCTACGTGGACATATGACAAGGTACCCTGGGTGTGTTGGTTGTTGAAGTCCTGGGACGCTGTGTCAACTTCAGTCTGTTACATGCATTGTCTGTTTTAAAAAATACACCTATTTCAGAGGAAATGTACAGTTTGCATACAGTCTCTTTCAAAATAAAACCACTATGTCACTTCAACACCGTGAATTGACATTTTTTTCCTTCAGCAACAAACGCGTGTGGTTAAGTCTGGCCAACGCACACACACAGTTGGGTTTAGGCAACAAAAGCAGGTAGTTGGGTTTAGAAAAATAACCCACAGGGTTTGGCTTTACAATCATATGGGAAGCAAACACCGGCCTCCCAGCTGAAAGTTGGTGGTTGTTGGACCCATCCACCACCCTTCCCACCCACCTGCTTACACAATAACGGCGACCGGCTGCATATCACGCTGATGTGAAAGGACAGCTTTTTTCATTGGTGTCTGATGCCAGAAGTCACGAACCAACCACTGGTTTTTGACAACTTTGGAGTGAGACCGGGTTGGTTTGCCCGCAAACTCTACAACATATATAACTGACTCCCATAGATAAGGTACATGGATATATGAGATAGAAGTAAGTACAATTTGTGTCAGACCTGACAGGCAGTCTGTTTCTGCGGCTTCTGTTCTTCAGACTCCTCTTCATCCTCACTGTCTGATTCAAATAGGTAATACTCTCCTGAGTGGAGCACTGTGAGCAGAAGAAACACATTACAATGTCTTATGAAGCTTATCTAAAGACAGATCATTTTTCATCCATCAACTGCTTGTCCTTGTTGTCATACCTGTAGCATGGTCCAACCATGGCTGGTACCACTTTTTCTTCCTGGAACTCTTCTTGTCTTTCTGGGTCTCTGTAAGGAAACAAGTGAAGGTTTGGATTGGAGGAAGTGCTGCACAGGACAAACCTGCTGCTGGTTCTGCTAATCTTAGAGCTTTAAAATCAGAAATGTAACCTGAGGGTGTGTGAGTAAAGGCCGTGGGATCATTACAATTAAATGGTTCACTTTTATTGAAGCATGAATGTGCCCAGCACATTTCATAACATATTGCCATATTGTTTCTACAGCACCTTTCCAAGTCAAAGTTGCAATGTGCCTTACAATGAAACAAAACAGACTGATATATCAGGGTTGTGAGTCTCTCAGCTTGCTTTGGAGTTCTTCTGCCAAACATTCATTCATGCAACTTTACGTAAACACAGACATGCATTAGCAGTAAAATGTATGAAGTGAGAAATTAAGTTTTCCGATCAGTTAAAGAAAAAATGATGGAAAAAATACAAAATGTAGCACAGGCAGAGGGCGACAAGAAGAAAATACATGAGTGTAATTTTATGAGCCTATGGTGTGATGAGTGTAAAATAATTAAACTTGACAAGTGATGCACGTCCTGCTGGGTTCAGTGTTGAGTGGTGCTGCATCTGCAGCCAAAAACAAGTGGGCAGGTCAAGAGACACGGCAGAGGTGGAACATGTGTTTACTGACTGTTACATTTTCTAACAGCTATTTTTCCAGTCAAGCAGTGAACTAGTGAGTCCTACCAGCAGTCTGACTCTCTTTGGAATCTTCACTTGTTTTGTGTCCTTCTTTGTACTTCTGCTGCTTTGAGCGAATCCTCTGCATCCTAAGAGAGGAGGACAGGAAATGGAAGAGCAGGGAGACAGAAGAACAGAACTTTAACTCTCTTTAGAGGCAAATTATAATATTTTCTGTGGGCTTATGTATATCTATGTTTTATACATCGACCTGGTGCCTACCATGGGATCCTGAGGTGACATCAAATCCACAAATTTAAGTGGTATTTTGTTTTGCAGCAGTGGACACAGAGTTATGAGCCATATTTAGATTATGTCTGAAGATTGACTTCAGACAGGATTTTGTGTAATATGCTAATAACACAAGATCTTACATTTATTATTCAAAGATTGAGTGGACATTTGGATGGCTTGGATGCTACAGAGGAAGTGTGTAAAAAAGTATAAAAGCATACATATCCAAACATAGGAAAAGGCCGCGCACCCATGAGCAACAGTAGACAATCAGAGCCATTTGAAAGCAATGTGAGATTAACCATTGATGTGTAGGCTTTGTTCTGCTTTGTCCTGCCCTACTGACTATCCAATTACACCATGAAACCAAAGCACCTTTAATATCACCAACCTCTGTAGATACAATTTACCAAATTAGAAGTCATTCTGGTGAAGTCTCTAGAAGTTTGTTAAAGTACAATGCCTGGAAATGGCAAAAAAAAAAAACAACTAAAAATTAAAAGTAAATTCAAAAGGGCTGACTTCCTGTTGGGTTTAGGGTGTGGCTCCAAGGGGCATTTTTTAAGTCTTAAGATGTTACATCTGTCTCCTCATTTTTATACCTCTAGGTTGAACATGGCCCAGGGGCTGCTTTGTTGAAATTTTGTGGGGATCTCAACCGAGCCATTTTATTCAACTAAAGCACAAAACCCATAAAATATCAAAATTTCTCTGTTTTGAGCACCCAGTGGCAGAAATAGAAATCAGCGCCTTTGCATCCAGATGATAAATACTTGGTGCCAAACAGAAGAACATGTGAAATGACAGCGTCATCCCGGTGCTAGAGAAAAAATTAGAGGATCACCAAAGTCAGTAGGATTCATCCCCTGGGGACCATGAGTATCTGTACAAAATTACAAAATGTAAAACAAATTAATCACAAAGAGGTGGATGGACCAAAAGACTGTCCCTAGCACAGGCGTTTCTAGCCCATTTTTGGGGGTGCTGAAGCACCCCTAAATTGAATCCCAGCACCCCTAAAATTTTGAGATTTTTTTTTTTTTTTTTTAACTGTATGTCCTTTTTTAACAAGCTAGAAAAGTGCCCCAAAAGTGGTTTGATCCATCCCATTGTTAGGTAGGAGTTAGCTGACGTTTTTTCTAGCTATGAAATGTTACAGGTGGTCAGTACCACTGTCCTCTGTTTGAATTGGAATGAGAGAAGCTAGCTGTTGTGTCATGTGCATGTGTTAATATTAAAGCCAAGGTGCTGCTGACTAGCTAATTGACTGGATGCCCATTAACATTATAACTCCTATTGCGTGTGTGTGTGTGTGTGTGTGTGTGTGTGTGCGCGTGCATGCGTGTGCGTGTGTACAGACAACCTCATCATGGATATAAGATTGTTTTGGTTTTTTTTTTCAAAAAAAAAAAAAAGAGCCAGGTTCAGGTAAGATCAAATGGTCTATCTATCTAGAATGATGTTGTAAGTTGGATCAATGTATCAGTTTATCTCTTATTAGATTTAAAACACATTGTTTGGTTATTTGCCTTTTGGTTGACAGTACAAAGAGAGAGAGAGGAGCAGAGAGAGGACTTTATTTATTAGTATTCTTATTAGTATTTTTGGTATTTTTGGTACTCACTATAGGGGGCTGGTTTACTCCAGAAACATACATACTGTTTATGTGTATGTTGAGGAGCTGCTGTATCAAAATGAGTTGTCTTCCCCCAGAAATTAGGGTTACGATATGTTTCTTTTATGATTCCAATCCATTCCTCTTTTTCTGTGGCTCAGCATTTAAATAACCTTTATCAGATTTGATGGTTTAGTCACAGACTTTCCCAAAAAGTGTTGTGCTTTTCTTTCACAAATGTGGGAATGAAATTGCATTAAAATGTACAAAACAGTGAAATTTATCTTGCCTGGCCGGGCAGCTCTCTGGGTGCTCAGCACCCCTAAACCTCTGATCCTAGAATCGCCCCTGGTCCTTAGAGCCTTCCCCTGCTATCAGCCTGACAACTAAAGTTACAACCTTCTATTTTTTAGAATTTCATCATCCAGCTTTTGACTTGTTCTTTGATGCACCATTATAAAACCACTCTGAACACTTACGATCTCTTGAGCTGTGACAGAGATTTTTGCTCAGCTTGTTGGTGGAACTTAATGTTCTTCACGATGCTGGCTCTGAAGAGCTCAAACCCCCTGGAAGAAAGAAAAATGGCTGTCATTGCATTTATCAGCAAGTAACTTTTCAGAAAATCAGCAAAAGAACCTAAATGTGAATTTATGTGCTGAATCTGTTTCCGTTGCACTTATCTATTTATCTTGCATCGATACACAGACTTTTTCACCTCCCCCAAGCATATAAACTTTTTGCGATATTTCACCACTTTTTTCTGCATTTTTTCGCGTTTCCATTCAGATTTTCTTTTTAGCCCAAATCAAAAATGCTCATGAAAAGAGGCGAACGGGGAAAAAACAGATAAAGACACATTGAATCTACGTACTCTGATTCAATGTTGTTTAACAATAAAACATGAAAACTTTCAGGAGATAGAGGCACAGTAAATACAGTACAATATATGTCACCATATCTTGTTATATGAAAAGTTGTATTTCAGATCTGAGCTAACCCCATGCAGTGAAACAGACAATAGCATGTAATTGACACTCATCACAGTTTAGGGCCTCGCTGTGACCATGAGTGATGAGACTTTTCTCTCTCAGATTGTTTTATGTGAAGTATTTTTAAATAAATGTAATTATGTATAACAGAGATATATATTTCCTGTAATAATCTGGTGAGCCCTAGCATTGGAGCCACTGCATTAGCTCAGTTTACTGTGTCTCACCTGGAGGCCTGTTTGGCAGAAGCCTGCAGCTCTGCCATCACATGCAGGAAGTAGTAACTGAGGAAAACCCTCCGCTGCAGCAACAGAAAGAGAAAACAGATACTGTCCCAGATGATCCCGGCCTCTTCTACTGGGAGGCTGCACGTCTTGTCACTCACTGCTTTTGCTGACAGGAAAAAAAAACACATACACAAAATGAAATATACTAAGATAAAAGGCACTGTGCAGAACACAGCCATCTCTAACTGTCTCTGTCAGGTGTGACTCTGTGATAAACCTGTGAATGTAACGCTGTTACTCCAAAGACATGACTATAGATTTAAACAAAGACATCTAATATTGAAAGGTCCATTTACAAAATATTAGAAAAGGGGAATTTTCTTTTGTGTACTGTTTGATACCAAATTACTTGTCCTTCATAAATCAAACATCCCAAGATATACAGTATGAAACACTGCAATAATACATCACCTTTGCTCAGTTATATAGATACTAATTCTACTGTGTATATGGTCATTGCTGTGGTGATGTATTATTATTATTATTATTATTAAAACACTTACGGTCATAGTATCCTTTGACTGTGCAAACCAGGCTGAAGAGTTGAATGACCCAACAGAAGCCTTTCTGCATCTCAAACACAAACACACACGCCAGGATCTGAAAAACACACACAGAAATACACTCTTCAGTGTTTTACAGGTCAGGTCAGCATTTTGTCACTTGCATGCATGAGTGTAAATTTCTCTTCAAACAACATAACAATAGTTTTCCTTGACTTTATCAAGAGTAGTAATGGCACTACAGTAATTACTTATTGCTGGTGCATAGGCTCTGTAGCCACGCCAAAACCACTTAACACACAGCGCTGGCATTTAAGCAGCTTATTGTTGCTGCTTTAACATTGTACTCACTGTCAGATGCTGTCAGCATTTAAACCCTGTTATACAGTAGAATTATGACTTAAGTACTGTCTGATTGTCATAATTATAAATATAGCTTCAAAGAATGTCTTTTTAAATGCTTTGTTTCTATCACAACTGACTAAATAACTGCTGAGAAAAATCCCCACACCTTCTGCTCACATATTTGTGGTGCTGTGTGTTTACATTGTGCCGTCTGCACCATCAACACTTTTAAACAATATGAACTCCTGGAAATGTGCCTTTCCATTGGTTGAGCTAATGCCCTCATGCTTCCCTGTGACTGGCACAGCATGTTCAGAGCTATGGGATGAGTGACATGACTTTCTGAGAGTGTATTCATTAATCACCAGACCCTCCGATCTGCATTTAACTTCACTCAGCCCTTTAGCACTTACTGCTGCTGCACAAACATAAACCAGAGTAGGTGTGCTTGGAGAGGCCCACAAAGTGAAACAATATCTAATCTGTTAGAAAACATGCTGATGGCTGATGTTGTACTTTCCTGTAGCTGCCAAACATGTGTTACTATTATTGCAGTGACATATTTTTTGATTACCAAGACAAAAAGTCAGAGGAACCAAGATGCCCCCAAGATGCTGCAAACAAGCACCAAATGATGAGCTTTATACTTACTGATAACATATTTTTAGAGATAATGACTGCCACGTTGTAGATGATGAGACAGTCCCACATGACGAGGCGGGTCCTGGATGGTTTGACCAATAGCCTCGTCCCAAACAGCAGAAAAAAGAAGCAAGCCAGCAGGTAGCCCAGTCCAAACACAGAGATCCTTGTTGCCCCGGTGATGAAGACAACTGACAGCACAAACCAGAAGAGGTGACGAAAGACCAAAACTTTAGCCATGTCCAGGTAGCTCCTGCAGGAGGACAGGAAAAGACACACTTCATGTCCAAACATTACAGATTTTGTATATTTTTGCTACAGTGTTTAATGACTGAATTTATCTTCATCAAAAAGGGGTGTCTTTGTTAGATGTATGTTTTATAAGACAAATACTGGCATACAGTACATATCCTTATCAGACTTTTTTCCCTTCATGAACACTGAGTAGAGTCAAATGATCTGTCTCTGAAGCAGAGGAACTACAGTTCATACCAATGATGGCAGCAGACAAATAGCAGGTTCAGCAGTGGATGACTGATGAATAAAACAGACAGACTGACTGACTGATGGAAAGACACATGCTGTATTTACCTGCAGTTGATAAAGTTGGGTGCCGGGTTGAACAGTCGACCCTCCATTGGTTCAGGGTCGTCTGTGTTCTCTCCTGCCAGAACCATCCACTCCTCCGTGTGCTCACACTCAAACACCTTCCACTGCTGGGATGCACACATGAGCAGCACAAAGTCCGCTATGGATACACACAACGACACAAGACATCATCATCATCATCGCTATAATCGTTATCATCATCATCATCATCATCATCATCATCATCATCATCATCATAAGCCTGGAATACTGACTGCTGCCTCATTGCTTTATTTAGCCTAAATAACAGGTCATACAGTTACTAAGACTTTTCAAATGAATGCCAAGTCTGAGGGCATTGCAAGCAAAAACATCTAAAGCCTGGTCCCTTATAAAGGCTAACTAAACAAACATAGGGGGATTATTTACCTGTAACTGACCTGTACTATGGTGGCTCACATGTTCAGTTCAGCATCATGTACAATTCCACAGCACAACAGCAGTTATGTCATTCTCTTTATTTCTCTTTTTAACATGAATACTGTTCTCATTCACTGATTAATTCCAGTCACTTCTACTTTGTGTTCTTTTGTTCACTGTAAATCAACTGTCAGTGAAACTCAACACTTCCTACAGATGTATCACACAGAAAGTGAACCCAGACAGGGCAGATTTATGCTCTTTGAGCCACTGGAAGGCTTTAAATGCAAAACATCTGTGTACAAGATGCACTGACAGCAGCTTAATACCAATTGATAAATTGGCCAATTACAAGGGATTGAACTTCACCATTTCTATAAAAAGTGAGCGCAGAATCACAGTGTAAGACATGGTTGTTGTACTGATGGAATTAGTGGTGGGGAAAATACACCCCACACTGAATGCATCAAGACAGGCATGTCCAAAGTTTGGTCCACTGACCAATTTTAAACAGCCGGCAGTTTGTCTTTCAAAATATACTATACCATATACTATATACTATATACTATACTGGCTCACTTTGCATTTTTTCTGTTCTCTTCACGATGGCAGGATAATCATACGCAGGCAGAAATAATGTGTTTTCACAGACAGATAGTAAACAAGCAAGCAAACAAGCCAGGTAGCAGATATGGCCACAGCAAAAAGTGTTAAGTTGACAGTTGAATAGCCTACTTTTTCACTGAAAGATGAAACAGTTACATTGCCTTATTTGTATGTGTTTTTTTTTAATCCATATGATTAGAGAAGCAGCTGCCCCAAGTATTTTCACATTATCTAATCTGGCCTCCATTCCAAAAAGTTTGGACACCCCTATATTAAGACAACAGTAAACACTGAGGGAGTGTTGAGTTTAAAAAGCAAACAACATCAAAATTAAAACATGAACAGATCACAAAAAACAGAGGCTTCTTACTAAAGTGTGATCAAACTAATCAAACGGGTAATTTGAGGAAATCTTTCTGTCATTATTTAGGACTTTGCAGAATACTTCATACTACATAGTGACAAGGTGACAGTTTGACAGAGTTTGATATGTTTTTCTGATACAGATAAACAAAATGACATCAATGGAGACACACATACGCATACACACAAACTGACCTATAAGATTTTTGGAGTTTGGCACAGTGTAGAAGTCGGGCAGAAAGATCCATTTAATGAGAGCTGAGTTCATCAGCACTGGAGTGTTCCACCGCCAGGGGTAGTCTACAGGACAACACAGGAGAGAGACAGGGAGGAAGGTAGAAGGAGGTTCTACAGGAGTGTAGTACTTACTGCTACTGCAGAAGTGAAATATTAGGGACATACTCTAAAGCAGGAGTCAGAAACCTTTATTATCAACAGAGACATTTTTGGCCAAAATAAAAAAAAAAAAAATCAGTCTGGAGCAGCAAGACATATTTAAGCTGTATATGTTCACATTATCAGCATTACTAACACATCTAAATGAACATCCATTAATATGTTTTACCACACGGTGGCTGTTCTGCAGTGGGCTATTTATGATTATTCAGTACTTTAACTTCACATCAATGCACTATTAAATTTTCTATTTTCCTCTGAGACTTTTAATTTTTTTGGATTTGGAATCTATTGCTAGATAAGCTGGGAGACTCAAGGCTGGACACCTCTGCCAATGTTTGGCAAAATTGAGAGGTAAAGGCACCAGGTCATAACATAAGACATATGACGCACATTTTAGTTGGTGGAGTCAATCTTTTGAATTGGTGTATAGGTTACACTACACACTTTTTTATATTTAGAGAATTTGAGAGGTGAAAATGTAAAGAAAAAAAAAAAGCAAATATTTATTTCTATATAATTTTTGGTTGAAGCCACAGGGAGTCACAGGAGAGGGGGTAAAGCTGCATACAGCTCTGCTTTGGAACTGAACCTCATAACTTTAGCTCTATAAACATACACACTCTGAGCAGAAACTAAACAATTCCTCTGCAGTAAAGGAGGCCATTCTATGACACGTTTTCACCTGTGAAAACTGCATCAGCGTAAGGCTGCTCCTCTTTTGAAAGACAGCAAATCCCAAAGTGTACAAAGAATGGACCAAAAGACAATGAGGTGAGATGTTACGACTATTCTGTCTCCATCATGTATGTAAGTGGGATCGTGAAAATATTTTAATATTAAGCAATCAAATACAACACCTCCACTAAATATGGCCTAAGAGGAACAGTGTGGAATGTCTTCCACCTCTTCTCCTGACACAATTTCAATTTTATTTATAAAGCCCAATATCACAAATAACAATTTGCCTCAGAGGGCTTTATAGCATACGACATCCCTCTGTCCTTTGGACCCTCACAGCGGATAAGGAAAAACTCCCCCCCAAAAAAATTTTTACGGGGAAAAAAATGGAAGAAACTTCAGGAAGAGCAACAATAATTGAAGATTACAGAGCCAAAATCCACAGGTACAAAAACTACAACAAGAAAAATATGCTGAGGGTGCTAGGTTAGACTCTACTGCATGTCAGGACTCACCTATACAGAGAGCAGGAGGTATGCCCACACACAGGAGATACTGGTAGATCATGAATATGGACAGAAACAGACAATATTTGGGCCAGATCTTGGCAATTTCTGCCCGCCGCCGCCTCACCAAGATGGCCACCAACCAACAGCCGTGGATTATCACCAAGAAGTTCATCCGCTGGCCAATCACATTCACCGTCATCAGGAAGCAGATCTTTAAAAAAAGAAATATATGTGTTTGGTAAAAAAAATAAAATTAAGAGTAACTCACATTAATGTGTCATGAATTACATCTAAAAATACTGCAATAGAAAACTCATTTTATATCAGTTCTCTTGTTAATTTTTTTTCCCGTAATTTAGTATCTCTTAAATTTCCTGTTTAGTGATGACGTGATCTCTCCCAGCTACCTCTAATCCAAACTTGTAGAAGGTGTAGTTGAGCAGGTACTTGAAGCAGGGGATGAGGCCCTTGTCCAGCGTGTCCCTGGTGGCAGCGGGGAACAGAGCAGGGATGGTGGGGGGAGATCGTTGGAGCTGACGGTAGTGGTGAGCCTGGTGACGATACACTGTTGCCTCAAACACCAACAACATCAGCACCATTAAATGGTCCTGTAAAAAAAAAAAAAAAAGCAGGACACTCATTCAATTATGAGTCTTTATTATACATAAAGGCTGGATGTGTAGCCTTATTAATGAACTGTGTCTGTGGCACTTAACTATAGTGTAGATTTTTTCAGTTTTTTTTAGAAGGTTTGCTTCACCCAGATAACAAAATAAGTTTTGATGGTATCTAGGACCTCACTCTAAAAAAGGTGTATCTCTGCAGCAATTTTTATTATTTGTCGGACACTTAGAATAACAATCGAAATCTGTCATTCCAAAAACAAGCACATTTACTGGATGTAAATTGACAATGCACACTTGCCCCAGGTGTTAAGATTGAAGCCTGTTTCGCTGCTGCCAGCTGCAATGGTCTCACTAAAAACTGGACCATTTCCAAAAACTACTGTTTTATTGAAGCATATATTGAATCTACCTTGCTGTATCCCAGTACTGTGGCATCTTTCCTGATGCCAAACCATTTGGCTGGATCCACTCGATTCTTATACAGAGAGGAGTTCTTCATCTCTTCTGGCAGCAGGTTGGTTTCATTTGTTAGAGGCTGTGAGGAAAAGATGAGAGAAACTAAATCATAAGCAGGACAATCAACACCTTATAACTCCAGCTCCCACTGGGTCACATCAGCATCCTGTCAGGTCAAGTTACTCTACAGCACCAGTTGTCCCAGCTACATGGGGAAAAACAAGGGAGAGAGAGAAGAGTATTCAGGGTTGATGATGGCCATGATGCTGACAGAGCACTGCTGCCTCCTCAGGTCTCTTTTCTTTTTTATTTTAACATATCTAGTTCAGAGTTGCACTGTGATAGTCTGGCAACCCAGAAAAGAATAAGCAGTTACAGATAATAATGGATGGATAGCTCAGAGTTGTAACCTTGGACATAGAAACAGTGTGTAACTCATGCCCTTGGGAATTGATGCCTTAAAAAGGCTAAGCAATGCTGCAGTCTTTGCAGTACTCATCTAATCATCAGACATGACAGTGTGAAAAATTATAATAAAATATCTTTGTGAGGCTTATAGATATCTTACGACTTGGTGTTGACCACTACCAGTGACACAAAAACTCCGACGCTGAGAGTTCTGGATTTCAGATCTGACTTGACTGCCTAAACTCAGACTTACATTTCCCAGTGCTCAGCAACAGTAGATGTTGCAACAGGCAAGCATAATACACTGCTGTTGCAAAGGCCAAATGCACCCAATAATGTAATAATTTCTTTAAAGTTTAATAAAATTTGCACTTAACCTAATCAAAAATCTAATAGCTCCCAATAATTTCAAACATCAATGAAACAATAATAATAATAAACAAAGATAATATTTGTGGTATAGGCTATTGCAGTTCTGCACCAGTAGGTGGCATAACTGAATAAACTGCAATAGCCTATTCCATAACTGTTCTTTTTAAATTCAGCCTTATTGTCTTGACAGGCGCTCAGCAGTTCCTTCATTTTCCTGTGCTTGCCAAAACAGCTAGGCTGTGTGCTCAGTACCATTCTCAATGCAAAGTGATGCTAACGCTGCCTTATCAGGAAATAAATCACCAGGGGTGAAAAAAGTACCCAGAAGTTATCTAGAATTCATGGACCATGCTGGTACTCCACCTCACAAACCACAGGACTCATGGTGCCAGACACCACAGGACAGCCCTAGAGGTCCTGTGTCCATACCTCAACAGGCCAGATCCCCACTGTGGAGTGGACTTGGCTCTGATCTGAGGAGGCATGGACACAGGACCTCTGGGGTACCGGCAATTCTCATAGATGCTTGATCAGATTGTGATCTGTGGAAATTTGAGGCCAGATTGTCGCCTTGAGCTCTTTGTCACATTCCTCTGGCCATTCCTGAACAGTTTTTGCAGTGTGGCATGGTGCATTGTTCAGCTGGGGGGTCACTGCCATCAGTGAGTGCCATCGCCATGAAGGGGTGTATTCAGTCTCTAACAGTGTTTAGGTGGGTGGTGTGTGTCAAGTGGCATCCACATGAACGGCAGAACCGAAAGTTTCCCACCAGAACATTGCATCGTAATAAGATGAACAATGTTATTCACTTCACCTGTCAGTGGTTTTCATGATTTGGTTGACTGGTATATATCTATCTATTTTCCCTTCATCCTCCAGGACTGCATGTTGGTATTAATGACTGATTGAAATATAACATTGTGCTTGTTGAAACAGATATAGTTGATGCAGAATGTGTGTCCATGTGTGTCTTACCAGGGTACAGTTACTGGAGTACTCATCAGGGTTGACAACACTGAGCTGGTACAGCATCTTACACACGATGATGACACACACCCAGACTGTAGACAGACAGGAAGCCATGGGTCTAAAGCGACCGTAGGGCATGGCCAGAGACCACAGTACCACCAGGACCAGGTTCATCACAGATGGCTACAGACAAACACAGACACATTTACGTCATATGCAGCTATTCAAAAATGAACATGTTTTAGAACTTTATGTCAGGTATCATATATGTGCAGTATTATATTTGCTGTACAGTGTTTTCTTTGTCACACCCCCCTTTACAAGCACACCCAGTCCCCCTGCCTTTACCTCTTGGAGCGAAACCCACACAGAGAAGAAGGCCACCATCTTGAGGATGTGGAGCTCCAGAAGCCTCCAGAGAAACACTTGGATTTTGGTGAGAATGTCAGAGAACCTTCTAGACAGGACCAGTAACCTGTCCATCACCAGACCCCACTTACTGGGCACCAACTCCACTGAGTAAGAGAAGAGACAGGACAGATGGACAAAGAGAGGACAAAGGGGATATGGGAGGAGCAGAAAAACAGATCAGTCAGTAAGAGTTTTAAAAACATTTGTGTTACATGAATTTATGTAAGTGTACTCACTTGGAAAACCAAACCCTTAAAAGTCCATAAATAGAGAAGTCATTTTACAAGAAAAAACTATTAATACTAATTTGTGTGTCAATAAACATTTCCATTGTGAAAATGTGTCTCTAATATAAAGTGCCATTTTTGTTCCTTCACCTTCATCTTCAGACTCCTCATCAATGTTAGTCCCCAGGTCTTCCTCTTCAAAGTTCGTTTCCACATCACCAGAACCAGTTGGCTCAGACTGCTCACTGCTCTTCTTCCTGGAGGCAAATTGTCTCATTAGTTCTTGCAAAAAGAAAAATGTAGAATTCCTCAGTGACATATGATGATGGGAAACACCACCAGCAGAAGCAAAGTTTGAATATAGATATTCATCTGTGGCTAAAAGCACAAAAATGGTGGCCAAATTCCAGTCTAACATACAGTATTGGTCATGAAAGAAGAAATGTGATTTATGTTATAAGACTGGACCAATCTATTAAATATCCCAGACTTTCTTTTATGATTGGATACATTTTCTTTAAAATTAACAAATCACAGAGCTAAATAAAATATCTTAGTGCATCCCCTTGGATAATTAACTGCCAAATTATTTCTATCATAAAAATCAGTGCAAAATTAAAATATTTTCCAAAAATTCCAATATCATGATAAAATGATGAATAATCATGCGACCTCTATCTACCAAATTAATTTCACAATGATCAGGTAAATATTACCTGAAAATACAGCACCTGTTTAGGGCATAGAACCTTTCTTGAGAACCTTCAATGATTCCCCTGAAGTTAAAGGGACACCTCACTCCCAAATTAGAAAATATATGTTTTTCCTCTTGCCTGTTACTCTATTTATCAATCTAGACTGTTTTGGTTTGAGCTCTATTTTAGATATCGGCTGTAGAGATGTCTGACTTCTCTCCAATGTAATGGAACCAGTGTTGGGGGTAATGCATTATAAAAGTAACGCGGTACAAAAGTAACGTCTTACAGTAATATATTACGCTTTAGCAGTAGTGAACTTATATAACACATTTCCAACAGGATTACGGGTAGTATTATTACATTTACAATGTCATGTAATGCGTCACCACCTGAAATAAATTATGTATTGTTTTCATTTTTCATTCATCCACACTGATCCACACTGCTCCACTTCCACCCATGCGCTGACAGAAAAAAACATCCCCAAGGGTTGTTGTGTTGTCATGTCATTCACCATAAGCTACCTTACAGAAGGGTAACTGTGATCGTGTGCATTATCATGTCCAGTGTGTCATCGTATCCCATTCTATTTTTGCGTCCTAAGACTGTTTTTTTGTGCTCATCATAGCAACTTAATCGCATGCCATTTTGTTTGTTGTGCTAACCTTAACATTTGTTTATTGTGTTTCATACTGCATCATAGGCCCACATATATTTATCCATATCTCATAATTTACAGACTTTGATCCTCTGCCTGACCCTCACTGCTTCCAAGGCTATTCATATAGTTTAAAAGGTCTAGGCTATTTAATTGTTCTATATTATCACACTATTATTAATATAAGCAGGAGATTTTAATACAAAGTTGTAACCACTGTATGTGAATGCATGAATGGGTCAGACAAGCAGAGAGTAATATTGTCAAATAACTTATTACTTTCAAGTGAAGGTAACTAGTAATATGTATTGTATTACATTTTTAGAGTAACTTGCCCAACACTATTTGGATAATAATACATTTGAAAAACTGAGTAGCAATATCTCTTTTCAGAAATCATCATCTCACATTGCTCAGTAGTTTCATATAGGAACAACTTTATTTTACCGAACTACACCCGCCAACCATATCCCTGTGCAGAAGGCAGCACTTTGAGCACCACAAGCTGAGTGCCTTTAGTTCCATTACATTGGAGAGAGGGCAGACATCTCTGGAGCTGACATCTCCAACACTGCCACTCAAACCAAAACAATCTAGACTGATAAACAGTACTACATGGTAAAAGGAAAAATATGTATTTTTGATTTTGAGGTGAAGTGTCCCTTTAAACTAACAAATCATAGTAATGTAGTGGTCAGTTCTGTATGTTCTACACTCCATGGTGCTTAAATTATGTCTTGTTACACTAGAAAGTAAAAACAGCTTTAAACATGTTTCTAGGTAATCATCATCAGGTGTTTGCAGGTTGAATCACTCGTTCCATATATTTTAAATGTTTTTTTAATGACTTGGAGAAACTGTGACTGAACTGTGCAGCTTCATTAGCTGTTCTTTTGACATCTCTGCATTTCCCTCTTCTCTTTCCCTACACGGAGCACTATGTACAGCATCTGTTCATTTATCTCTAAAACAAATTCTTTACAGTATTTTTTCTTCTTCTTGAAGAGGTTATGATAGTTTTGATGACTCATCTTGAACAGAGGGGCTAATTCAGAAATTTGTCATGTCAAGTGTGATTTGCAGTGACCAGTTAACCCCGCACATGATGTAAAACTGAACTGAGATGTTAGCTTGTGAGTTAAAGAGGGTAGCAGAGTTATACCATAAAAGGAGCTTTGTGTTTGGATTTTGCTGGCAAAAACTATATTTACATTCCAAAGAATGTGGACAAGGTCTAATTTATTAATTTCTCCTTTGTCCTCCTCCTGGTCTAATAATGCAGATGTCCAAAAGTCCTCTATGCTCCATATCTCTCTGCAGGTTTAAATACCTTCTCATGATTAATCCCACCCAGATATTCACTTCCACTTCAAAGGTCACATGCCAGAAAACACAGTTAAGACACTCATACTTTAATTTCTAACCTAATAGCTGGAGAAAATGTTGGCACTGTACACTTCAGCGAACCACAGATATGTGTTATATTTGTACATCATTATGTAGAAGATATGCTGAAACTTTACAGTTCAGCAACGCTGTGGTTAATGTGTGGTTAAGTTTAGGCACAAAACCCACTTGGTTACTGAAAAAAACAGCTTTGTCTTGATAACAAAACAACCACTTTTCATGACACTATCCCCACTGGAAAAACAGCAATGGGTCTTTTAAAAAAAACACCAATGTTTTGGGTCTAAAAAAAACACTGGAAATACAGTAATGTGTTGCTAAAAAACAACCTGTACTGTTTGTTTGTCTTGAACAGTCGTCTGCAGCTTGGTGGGAGTTTTGCCTCATTATCACACCATCTACCATCCTCTCCATGTCCCAATGACAAAATCAGCACATATACTACCTCATTTTAGAAATGTTGATATGATATGTATGAAACATGCAATTGTAACTTAATCGTGGTTTGCAGAAACAACAAGAACAACAATGCAAAGCTAACATTTTCTTCTGGTGACAAGGCGGCAATTTCACCGTGGCTTTGAACAACACTGTCCAGCAATATGTAAATCTTTTTGTTTTGATAGGACATGACTAGTAGGAGTGTGCAGGTTGTGTTACTTGTGTATAGGTGTAACATGCTCCAGGTCAGTAATTCTCATGAAGGGTTTGTGGAAGTAGTGCAGCTGCAGAATACAGGCCAGCAGGAAGAAGCCAGGGATCAGAATACTGCTGAAGAGTTCAGACAGAGCAAATGTTTCCAGACCGATCGCTGCCAGCCTGAGGATGACAGAGGAACACAATTACACCTTCATTACTTCAGTTTTAAACTCTTATTTTCATTCCTATCTTACTGTGCTTAGTTACCACACTCCAGATAGTGAAACTGCACACATTGCTCACAGAGCGGGAGGAACATGAGGTTAATAAGGACAAAAGGAAAATCTATTTTTACCCTGAGCACTGACAAGACAAAAAAAAAATATGGGTCAACAGGCCTAATTACTTTCATTTGCTTTGTAGTCATGCTTGAGGACATTTTGGGTCATGAGTAGTTTAAATAGTATTTTAGGCAGGGTAATTTTTAAACATTATAGAAGAAATTAATGACAGCAGAACCAGTCTACAGCTCGAAAGATAAACAGAGACATATTAATAGGATAGAGGAAAACACAAGACAGTCTCCGTCCATTGTACAAGAACGTACTGTTCTTCTGTGAAACCAGTAAAGTTCCTCCAGTATCCAGGGAAGTCTTCAAACTGGAAAGTGTAGATGGAGATGAGCACCAGCATAGTGTAGGCCACAACCAGCCACCAGAAGATCTTCAACAGACGCCTCCACAGAGAATAGTACACCTGGGAAAGAGGGGCAAGTCGTTACTCAATACGAGAGATTTTTGGTTTTAATGTTTATTTTTGAAGACATATATAAAACTGGGAATAACACCAACAGTTTGAAGAGGTGCCTGCGTGTTTAAAACAAAATTGTAACACACAAAGAAAATGGCAAAATATTTTCACTAACACAGAATTATGCTTATATACGTATCTGATAAGAGATCAAGCTGTACACTGAATCTTCTTTTAGAATGTGGATTGTGAACCTGACTCAGGTCTGTAGGTCTGTTCGTACCTGATAGAGACAGAGGCAGAGCAGGAACAGCAGCATGTAGATGATTTTGTATCCGACAAGTTTTCCAGCAAAGGAGACCATGATGAACATCCCTCCGCACACATAGATCCAGTATTTGGCATAACAGCTCATCACCATGCCTCCTAGAACTTTCAGCACTGATTCATTACCAGCTCCCTCTTCTGATGAGGAGAAAAGGACAGAGAGGGAGGAGAGGGGTGAGGGATGGGAAGCGGAGTTAGACGTTGATGTTAAAATGTAAAAGAAGAGTCATCAGGAAGGTATTGTATAGTAAGAAGGACTGTAAAACCGGCCACCCTGGTACAAGTGTTGCCTCCCACATGCCTCCCCAGCAAAAATAATTAGAGGCCGACATTACCGTCTTTAAGAGGCTGTGGTATGCTGATTCTTTAAGCTACAGTGTAAAAGTATTGGTATGTTGTGAAACTGGACACCCTTTGGAATCTTAGGTACCAACAATGTCGGCATAGCTTGTCAGGAAGGGGGCTAAATAAAGCTCCAAAGTTCAGCTTCATTTTGGTGATGGAACAACTGCCATGATCATTTTCAAAGGGGTCCTTGAACTCTCACTTCAACATAATTTGATAATATAATAAGCACCTAAAAAAAGTATGTATGTTATGCATGTGTGTTCTAGCCTAATGGAGAAGGGCTCCAGCAGAAGTTAATATTGTTCAATATTACTTTTATGTTCATAATATCAGTGTGAATATGTATCCAAATGTGTGTGTGTGTGTGTGTGTGTGTTAAAGATATCTGACCTCCTGTAGTGACTTCCTGTAGTGGTGTGACCATTTTCCTCTTCCTGCTGAAGTTTTCCTTCACTGACTGACGTACTAACAGCCAGAAGGTTAAAGTGTACAGGAGCTGGAGAGAGACAGATACAAAAAAAGAGAGAGAGAGAGATGGAAAAACACACAAAAACACAAAGAGCAAGAATTCATTTCACTGGATTTCTGAGAAGTTGAGAAATGCATCTCTAACCAGCAAAATGACCCATCCTGTCATATTCACACCAGTGCCCTTGTCTCTACTGCCTCTGTGTGTGTGTGTGTGTGTGTGTGTGTGTGTGTGTGTGTGTGTGTGTGTGTGGGTGTGTGAGACTCTCTTCTTGTCTTGTTAACCTGACCCCAGTCTACCCGCACACCAGCCTGCAATGGGCGCATCACCTCCCTCAGCTTACACACCCATCATTCATTATCTCATCATCCCTTGCAGTATTTCAACCAACTATCTTTCCCTCGTGACCTGGATTATCCCCCATCAACCTGTCTACCTGCTCGCTTGCCTGTTGTACCTGTGCAACTCAAGCCCAACCATGTCCTTCCAACCTTCCTGGTTGGTCTTTCCATTGACCCTCCTGCTCTCTGTCGACACAAACCATCTCATCTAATCTGGGTACCTTGCAATAAATCTGAAATTCATCTTTCTCATAGTTGTCTTCTGCGCTTGGGTCCACCTCTTGAGCTGGAATCCTAACACATCCCGTCACTCAGCTGTTCAAATCTATGCAACTTTTTAGGGCATATTTCACACATTCTTTAGAAGTGGGACAAATCATGTCTGAACAAAAACAACCTTAAAATGCTAACTTATCAACCAACGACTGATGATGAAATGATCTAAATGATATTTTGGTCTTCTTTCATTTTTTTTTTTTTACTTCTAAACTTGCTCTGTGCCAGAGAACAGCTTTGTCCCAGACAAAATTTCACAACTAAAAAATGGGTTAAAAGCCTTCAGAATCTAAAACTAAAAGTACACACTGATAACATCGGTGTAAAAATGTACTGTTATAATTACCTTTGTTTTATAATATACCTTTTTTTCTTTTGTTAAAATGTTAAGATGTTGCCTGAGTTTTTGTCAACTCCATCAAAATTCTACAAAAACATCATTTAATCAGGCATAAAAGGGGTTAGCTATATCCTGAGGACTCCTGTCTCATTTCCTGGTTTGAAAAAAGGCAGGAATGCTGCTCAAGTTCTGATCAACTTTCTATTTTTGACAAATTCATTAAATCATTTTGCTATTAGGTGTGTCTCTGGTCAACTCCGTAGTCCTTCTAAATCCAAACTAAATAAGAATTGTGGTTTAAAATGAGTATTTTGATTAGCATTAAAATAACTGTTCGCAACATTGACAAATTAAATAGCCACTATGACTGATGTGAAATTAATTAATATATAACTTTTTGCCAACTCTGTAAGGTCAGAGATATACTTGTTTTCAGCTATGCGTTTGCGTGCATGTGATGGCTGCCTCACATCATCTGCCTCTGTATGGAGCGTTAATTGTGCACGTCCCCTGAAATTATCACTTTTTTTGCTGTGATCCACGATGATCTCAAAATTAACAATACAGTAATCTCCTCGAGTGTTGCCGAGGTTATTGTTTACATCATGCAAATCTGGAAGTTCAATACAGTCTATGTTCTCTGGTGTGCCCTCTAGCGCAATCGTCCAGTAACACGCATAGTACATAGGCAAGTATGTGACGCATGACACAGCTGGTTCTATGCAAATGCATGGTTAAAACCAAGTATATCTCTGGCCTAAGATCTTACCTCTGACATCCATCATGTTAGCTTCTCGCGAAAAAATTAAATCATTGGGAGGTTGGCCAATTACAGGATTTAATGGTCAAGACTTTGATCTTAATATATTTTTCCAGCATAATTGAAGAGTAAAACTCAAAACCTGCAAAAACTAAACTGACAAATTACAGTGAGGGGGGAACAACACTTTGCATTATTGTTATTTTGCATTTTGCAGGGTATTTACTGAGGATGTAAGACCGCAGCTACAGGTAAGCTGATTGACATGAGCTGCAACAATATTAAACCTGATGCTGACCTGTTCATGTCAAGGACCAGAGCCCACAGGTATTTTCTGATCATGAGCTGAAAAATATTGTGCAGAATGTGTCACAACTTGCAACTATGCAACTTCAGTCACCCAGTATCTATTCTCTCGTCTCACCAAAGCTCCCAGTCGTAGACAGGGATACTGTGCTCGGTCCAGTCCCAGCTGTCTGAGGCTCATGGTGCCCACAGTGGTGGGCAGTTCAGGCTGTAACTCCATGGCCCAGACGTACTGCAGACAGCACAGAGCCAGGCCATAGAGCAGGATGAACGGAGAGCACAGTGTGGCTGCATGTCGTCTGCAAAAAGAGACAGCTATCTGAGTACAAGTCTAAACCCTGAAACATCACATCAGTGTGGGTTCAGTCATAAGGTAGCCTGTGAAATCTACACAAAATCACTTTAAAACAACATGTGTATTTGTTTAGCTTAACAAGAGCAAACACTGACTTAACACAATATCTGGATGAATCAATTAATACATTCACCAAGCACCAATTAAAACTATAACGTTTAAAGATAATCAGGTTGTTTATCAGACTCTTGATACATTGTGTCAGCACTGCAGGTACCTGGCACGCAGGATCCAGATGAGACAGGCCCACAGCAGCAGCACAAAGGTCAGCCAGCTGTGGTACGTAATGCTCCAAACCTAAACAAAATAGAAACAACACATGTCAAAATCATTATAAAGTGCTTTCAGTGTCCTCATCAAAATCCCTTAGTCACCATGGACATACAGGGACATAATGCAATTCTAAGGTTTTATTATAAATGACTCAGTCTCCTTCATGGTGTGCCTGAGTAGGTGCGTGTGTTTGAACTCTGCTCAAGCAGAGCTCATATGCACATATGCACACAGTGCTCAGGCACTCTCAGGGAGCACTACTCATCACTTGACAGTCTCACACTGTATAAGGGGCTGTACACATGCCACATTTTTGCACCCTCAAATTCATTGTTTCCAATGTAGATGTGCGGCAGGCGCGCTCAAATGTCGTGGTGCGCACACATTTCTGCCACGCTCTAAAAAGCTGGCACAGACAAGGTGCAGGAGTAGCACCCAGCGCCTGATTGCATTTTCCAGAAGATTAAAGATGCGGCATGTGTACCCCCCCGCCACGCCCGGTCTGCGAAACAAGAGCCCATTATGTTTTAGTAAAAAAGCATGTGTGTGGGAAGCACTGAGCTAGTCACTGGATAAATGAGACTTGGACTATACTGCACCAGGTATGTGAGAGTTCATAAATGGATGTTTTGATATAGTATTTAATTCATAAAGAATGGTTGCCTTTTTTGGATTCTTCGTTCACTGTGAAGGCATGTGAGAAAAGTTTTCTTCTTAAATTCACAGAGACTTGCAGTGAGTAATTGATATACAAATGGTCATTTTTGCAGATGAGGTATTCCTTTAACATGTCCACTCCATCGTAGTTAAATTTTCAGAAATGTAAAACATATCTATTAAACTGTACGCAGTTACCTTCAACAATGAATCACTTTTCTAACACAGCGTCCTCCGTATGTTCTTTAAATGCTAACTTTAGCAAAAACTATGAACATGTCCACCCTGTCATGAAGGCTTGGTGACAGGGTGGACATGTTCATAGTTTTTGCCACATTCTGATAACGTTATACATATTACAATAGTTATTACACACATATTATGACATGCTATAAATAGTGGGAGTGGGCTATATGGACTCTTTTGGTGATACTGGTATCAGCACCTATCAGCACCACCTTTTGATGATGATGATATTTTATAAACTTTTTTCCTATGTCATTAAAACAACAGACTGTGCTCAAAACAACGGCCATATCATGGATCAGATTTTGCAATCTATTATCAGATTTTATAGGTAAACAAATATTTTGTTGCAATGTCTTTTTTTTGTCCTCCCATTAACTAAAATATATTTCTGTGAATACATATCATGATGCTGTTTTGGTGTGCTTTATAGGTTCACAGTAACTATTAACATGAAGACACAAAGTGGCTGAAATCAGTCTCTGATCGTAACTATTCAAGTTTAGTTGTGTTCACTGAGTAGACTGAAATAGCAAAGTGTGCAACATTTATAAACTGACATCTCATGTCAGTTTATAAATGTATATTCTGATAATTACCATCATAGCTATGAGTGCACAGACATAGCTCTGCTGCATGACCACCTTTCCCAGCAAGAAAAATGGGCTCTCACTTTTTCGGGGTCCACTGGGGGCACTATCACCTGCCAAACACAACAATCATCACAGTATGCAGAACATCACATGAGAAAGAACCAACTGAGGAAGATCATCAAGAGATATGATGTGTTCTATATCATCATATCTGTGAGAAGTCATTTTTAACTAAGCTGTGATCTTGAGTGAATGGGTCACTTCTAGTAACCATAATCACCCTGAACTCTCTGTCACAAATGACTTCCTCCAAACTGTCAAATCTATTTGTAATCATCTAAAGCCTGAACAGATCTTCCACTATTGTACTGTTGTAATTACACATACACACTCTGTTTTAGCTACAAAGATGATTTCTAAAAAAAAAAAAATGGAGCATTTGATACCCAGATCTGGCTGACTCTCTCCAGCCAAAGTTCCTCCTCTGCTGCCCTCTGTGCCTATAGACAGGAGCATGAGCTAAAACAGAAGAGCATACACACACACTTTACACTTCTGAGATACACATCTGTACATATATACAGGCTTTGTAAATACAGTTTGATTAAAGAATGCAATATAACTCTTGATATATTTGTTCATACTTTAATTGTAGTTTCTTAAAATGGGAAAATTTGACTTACTGAAGTAGACATAGAGATATGAATTTTTACCTGTGTGTCATCTTCATAGTCCTCTTTCTGTTGGTTCCATGACTTTAACTCCACCATCTCCTCGTCTTCAGCTTTCTCCTGCTGCTGCTCCTTAACCTGCTGAACACAAATACAGCATCTGAGAAAAAATACATATTCAAACTGACAGCTTTTTCAGGAAAAAAAAATGCTACAATCACTATGCAGAAGGTTTGATTGGTTGCAGATTCATCATAGATTTTTCTGCTGTCATCACCGCTATTAAATGCACATCTGTTCCATTTAAAATATCAACAACAGCAGACTAAGCAGAAAACTGTATTTGGATTGACAGCTCACTGTAGACGAGTGCACAGAGTGTCAGAGATGCAAAAAGATCTTAAAATAGAAGAAAAGACCAAAAAAGAAAACAACATAAACATCTGTTATCAGGAATATTGTCAGTAATGTGAAAATGTTCTCTTACTACGGCTCTTACTGTATCTAAAACCTCATTTCTACCAAGTAGTCAGTTCAGTTCAGTTCAATTCAGTACAGATTGAAACACTTATTTATGCTTTTCAATTGTGAAAAGTTGTGGATGGTATCAATGGAACCGATCCGTACCGTCCCCATTTTTGGTCACCCCTCTTTTGGGGTACATGGCACACAGATCTGGCACTAAAAGGTGGAGCTAGAAACACTGGAATCCATTGATTGTCATTGGAGGACTGTCACTTTTGCTCAGGGCTGAGTTGTGGCTGGATTTGAAGGTTATGTAACCACTGGTTGAAGTTTTTCATACATTAATAAACTACAACTATGATATGAAAAATGACAGGATGTTCTGCTACCTATAGCAGCAGCTATAGACTTGGAAAAAATAATTTAAACCCCCTGCTGTTCAAAGGCTACTGCTGGCAGCTACCAGCAACTTTTTAAGTGGAAGATTTCCTTGCATGTTACTCAGTGCACAAGTGGACAACATGAATAAATCAATAGACCTATATATGTCAATATGACAACTCTGACCTTTCCACTGGGTTTTATTGTCGTTCTTGTATGACATATGCTTTAGTGATGATTGGATTTTTAAGCATTTAGAAAATATTTATGAATTTCAACCAGCATATATCCTAATCCTTACTTCCTGACTTTGTTCCACTGCGCTTCTCCAGCACTAAACCCCTGCTCTTCCCTGACAAGGACTCAATGCACTCAACCCGCTATTTTTAAATATCTTTTTTGTTCTGAAAATGTCAGCATGCAACCCCATTGTGTGGACATTAAATGAAGTATGGATGTTCCTCTGCTAAGCATTTGCGCCTCGCGTTTTTGCAGAAACACCCTCAACACCAAAAGCTGAAATTTTTTATCTCAGAGCACAAAAGCACCTTAAGTCAGTAGCGGTTTTTCCCCATTGTTCAATCATATAAATTGAGAGGTGGGCATTCTGTGGTGGGGATGACTGTGCCCAGTCCCCGAGTGCCCTCTGCCTGCTCATTTCAATGCAGATTGTAATGAACTATTTCATAGCAAAATAGCAGTTTAGCTTAAGACAGGTAATTCTATGATTACCTAACAACAACAAAAAAGACGCAGCAAGCTGCAAAACGTGCTCTGTCTGATCAGGGCCATACATGGAATTTTACCAGAATAGTTGACAATTGGCAAAAATTTGATGTAGATGAGGATGTGTGATCAGACAACAAGTAAAGAAGAGTAGGTGATGCTGGTTGTGACTCACTGAACACACCGATTCATAAAAAGCGCAACAGCTAACCATCCAGAAGAGAGTATCTACCGGCATGTTGCCATACATCAGTGCAATCTCTTCCATTATACAATTACAAATCCATCCTAACATCAAATGCCAACTTGTTTTTCTTTGTAATTTTACTGATTCTCTCTGCTACATTTACATTTCAGTTGCTACCAATGAAGAAGAAGTAGCAGGTACCTGGTAAGGTGTGCTATGACATCCTGTCTTGAGAACAGTTGCTATGGTAATGTAGAGGAGGAACAGTATCCCTGGGTTGACATAAACTGGCCAATCATGATTGGCATTAAGGTTAAGGTCATAGGGTGAGGAGCAGTTTCCTGGTAGGATGATGTCCTTTAGTCCAAAGAGTCTGTAGGAACACAGATACAGAAATAATTAGAGAAAGAGAGAGAAGTTGGGGATAAAAACAACAGGAGGTAGTTATTTAATGGCATGTTGAACAATTGCTGATTAATACAGCTGTGACCAGAGGCATGTGGGGCAGCTGGAACGTTAAAAGTCGGTGGGATTTATGGAGATGGAAATCATTAATGAGCAGCCAAACCTAATCTGCATTCCAAAGCAATGATCTGGGGGGAGAGTAATCGCAATCAGAATGAGAATCAGGTTTATATCAAGTTTATAAGTATAGAAATATCAACAAGCACACACACACACACACACACACACACACACAGTGTGTGCTGACAGCTGGGTATACTGACAGAGACCTGGCAAGAGCCCTGCTGATGATAGATGAGAGAGAAACAGAGAGGGAGAGAGATCGTACGTAAAAGTGGAATGCTGCACTGCTCGCTCATCTTTCTGCAATTCAGCTGATCAGGATAGGTGACGTGACGAAGCATCGACTGCTACCTGCTAGCTAGTCATTCCACACATACCTCCTCTCACATTGCTCTGCACTCACACATTCACTTTCTGTTTTTTTTATCTTTGTCTCTAAACTCACTCACTATCTTATCTCCTTCTACTGTTTCTTTTCAGTTCACTTCCACAGATATTTCAAACACTGTAAGCTCACTATTAATAGATATTGATGATTTCCTGGGAGGAAGGAACATGAGCTTCGAACACTCTGTCTATTTTTTTTGTGCAGCTTCCCTCCATGCAATGTCAGCGCCACACAGAGAGAAAAAATAGCTGCACCTGGAGGAAAGAGGGACTTGACACTGATCAGGCACAGTAACTGTTGCTGTTTTTTTCCTTACTAGCGACACATGAGCATGGGCAGAAATATGTATCACTAGATTTGAATCACTCAACTTTAAAAAAAAAACTGAAAAAAATAGCATAATTTGATATTAATTTATTAGTTTAGAATTGAATTCTGTTAAATTGATATGGAAATGTACATTGGTGATTTTATTTAAAAAGGCACAGACTTAGCCTAAAGGATGCATTTCACTGTGTGTTCCATTTACCTCAGAGGTCAGAGGTCAGAGCTGGGAATGAGGTCACACCTGAGTTGTCCACATTCCAGTACAAGACGCTGGAAAACCAGATGTTGTAAACAATACCAGTTCTAGCCAGATTAGCCATTGTTAGCAATACCAGTTGATAAGAATGCATTACGCCGTATTTGGCGCATTCAAACACTGTAGCAACATGTCCACATACAGAAGTTGGACAGAACAGTGTGTACGACGATTTCAATAAGACACATATAGCGTAGTTTTCACTATTGCTGATGTGCAGAGCAGCCATCTTGGATTTTGCAGTCGGGGTTGGTGACGTTCCGCCAACTTTCAGAGTCCTATATCTAACTTTAGGGGGCGTTCCATTTGAAATTTTCAACTAGGAACTTGAATTTTGACTTTCCGATACATATGGAATACACCATCAGAGATGATGAGGTTTGGAGCCTCGCTGGGAGGATATTTTAGTAACTGGACCTTTTTAAATTTTAATTTAAGACCCTTGATATCGTAGATACAGGGTGACCTATAGCACACCTGGTACAGTGTGCACACCACACAGGCTAAGTCCTCTCTCTCTCCCACCTTTCCTGTCTATCTATAGTCTCGCCACCAGACAATCAGAGATCTTTGCCTTCTGATAGTCTGGGGACACTCCTTTCTAAAGAAAACGGCCGACAACAAAGCAACGCCTCTTGCATTTTTGAAAAGGACATGCCTTCTTGGAAATGTGCACTCCCCTTTTTCTCGTCCGCAAGGAAACAAACACACAGAGAGCTTGAAAATGGATCCCGAGAGATTTAACTCCATTTTATCAAACATGTGCTCATCTGTGAAGAAAATATTTTTTCCAGCGGATGTCTTAGTTACAACATTATTGAGCTAACTGGAGTAGTTTCATGTCGTATCCGACAACGGGAGGCTTTTGACAGATGACGTCCTGATGTTAGCTTTGCTCAACCTGATCTCACAGAAATACGTGAAATGACCATGACCTCTTAACACCGCATTCCATGGTGGCAGCACGTAATGGGTTGAAATTACGTGCTGCCACCACGAAAACAATACCAATGTAAAGTCAGTTAGGATCCTCTCCCGTGGTGGACACACGGATTCCCTGATTCAATCACGTCACGTCAACCTCGTTTTCCTCAATGATACCTTTAACATTCCTGTATACACACAAAAACGCGGAAGTGTCCTTGATAACTCAACAATATGACAGGTTAATGTCAAGGCCATAAAATAAAATAAATGTATTTTCCCAGCTTTTGATAGCGTAGGGCTTTAAGAGCATTGTGCTGTGGGCGGATGGGGCGCATTCCACTACTGTTTTGTAGCTGCTGTCGGCCGTCTGTGGGCTTCATTCCATTTCAGATTGCCATCCGTCTGCCGTAACTGAATCCAGACGCCACTAATAAAAAAATAAATAAGAAGATAAAAATAAGGCTGAGCACGGAAGAACCAGAGAGGAAACACCATTACATGGAGCCATCTGCCCCTGGCTACCCAGCCACCCTCCACTCCACCAGGGGAGAGTGGACCCCAAGCCAGCGCCAAATAAATATTTCCAAATATTTATTTGAAAACGAAACCATTCATACGGTCAATATAAAACATTTTGTTAGTAATAAAAAACAAATGTAATCTCAATGTGACCGCGCCAGCCGGCGGGACTGCGGCTGAACCACTTCCAATGTTCATTCATTCATTCATTCATTCATTCAATCGTGTGTTCAATGTGTGTGTGTGTGTGTGTGTGTGTGTGTGTCAGAGAGGAGTATCAATAAAAAAAAGTAATTATTTCGGTGTTTATTTCTTTCTTAAAATTCTTAAAATGCGTAATATAGCCAACAATATTATAGACCAAATGTTAATCTAATTATTATTGTAGAATGTATTTAGCAAATCACCACTCTCAACTGGAGACAGCAGCAAAAAAAAAAAAAAGGCATTATAAAAAGCCGACAAATCGTGTTAATTAATTGACGTGAGACATTGAAGAGGTTGTCTCCTATAGTCTGTAATTTTTT